GGGGGGGGGGGTAAAAAGGGGAGACCCTTGTAGCCAAAGCCTCTGGGAAACCCAAGCTACCCTGTGATCCTGCTGTGAGGGTTGCGAGTTGGCCTTGTGAGTTACCATGCCTCATGGCTTGGCGAGTTTGTCCTTTTGGTGTCCTTGAAAACAAAACCACAAGTTTGTTTCAAGCCAAAGACGCAGATTGAACAGTGGTTTTCAAGCAGACACACAGATTGCTGTCCCTTGTGATGTATTTACCAGGCTGAAAACCAACCACAAGGTTTTTGTTCTTGCAAAAGCCACGCATTGCTGTCCTTTGCGATGTATTTACCGGGACTTGTCAACCGGGTTGTCTTCCTTTGATCATTTGGCGGAAGCAATTCCCAAACCGGTTGCGGGAACCGTAACGAGGTGGGGGTACTTGTAGCGATTGAAGGACAGATGATCGAACCTTTCTATATACTGCGTTCCCTTGCGGGGTAGTGTGGGCAACATCTGTTTCAACCCACTGATTGGTTCCATGTAAAACCATCAGTGTTAACCATCAGTGTCAACTTGCTGGAGCTCAGTAGGGAATCACCGAGTCCGGGTGGTGGGAGTGAACCTAGGAGTTCTGAAAGGAAAATTCATCGGGAGTGGTTTTTGTTGGGGGTCATTCCATTTCTCACTCCCTGGCTCCCAAACCGGAGTTAATTTTCCCACAGGACCCAGAGCATCAAAACAAACAACAACAAAAAACGCTGGTCGGGGCTCCGAGAACGACCCAATTGTGCACTCCTTTTTCTGGACCTTGAAGAGGGATATAGGGGGTCTAGCCCTGGGTAAGCCTAGGATAAGACATCAAGCCGAGTGATTCCAGGACAAATCACCAGACGCAACTGGCCACAGGTTACCTGCTATGGAATCTGAGATACACTGAATAGGTGATATTGAAGGTCCATTTGCTTAATCTGTATTTCCCCTGTTTTAAAGGGAATCGATTTCACTACTGGAGGGTACGTGCTGGCCCCTGGGTTTTTTCCGGGGGGCCGCAGCAGCTCAATGGAAGTGGCGCGGGGTGTTGGGTCCTTGGTTTTGGAACCATAGGTGTCCTTTTTGCTTTGCTTCAAAAAACGAGGGCGATTCCTGCTTTAGACGCTTGGTTTATGCCCCATTTTCCAGGGAAACCCATCGTTGTTGTTTTTCCAAAAAATGTGTGTTTTTTTTCCAGGGAAACCCATCGATTTTTGCCCAAAAGCCCTATCTTTGGACCCCTCACACCGCTGGCCAGCGGCCAGCGGCGGCGGTTCTGCGCTTCGTTCCCTCGAGAGGTCGGAGCCGCTGAGCCGGCGCCTCGCGGCGGCCTCCATTTTGCTCGCGAAAGGCCGGCGGGGCGTCGCTGGAGCGATCGAGCGGCTGCGGTGGAGGCCCATGGCGGTGGCAACCCAAACCATACCAAGCAACCGCAAAAACATTGCTTCCATTTCCTGAAATGAATACTCTTTTTTATTTTATTTTCCGCGGTTGAGTTTCAAGGGAATCTATCACTACTGAAAATACGCTTTAAAACGCGGTAACTGAGAGGGGTTCCCTGGTTCCCTGACTTGCTATATGTAGGGCATCCGGGCATCCGGGTAAATCCCGTTGCGCTTTGGGGCCGCCTAAAATGTCAAGGGTTTCCAAGTGGGGTCATTTTGGTTTGACAGTGTGTGGGGGTGATTAAAGTAAGAAAATGGTGTTGTTTCCCTTTAAGCCATGGGGGGTTGACTTTCATGGAAAAGTAATGGGGCCAGACCAACCAGGACGCTTTGTCAAATTTGCGTTGTTGGTGCCACCGCAAAGGCACCCCAAATTAAATCCTCAAACCGACAGCAAGTGACAGCAAAGCCAAGCCCCGAACCAACGCCTAAAGCACCCTAAGCCAACCACTTGACCAATCAAGCCAACTGCAAACTACCCCTTACCAACTGTTACACCAACCCTTAAAACAACCGAAGCCAATGGCTTCAACCAAAAGCATTGGGTACGCATGGATGGCTGTCTCTTCGTCGCAACCGGTTTCTGTTGGCGCAACCCGAAGTTCGCATGGAGCTCCAACAACCGATGGGTGGGACAACCCAACAGGTCCCAATCCAACCCAAGCGGAGCGAAGCAGTTTTAAACGCCAAACCTGAAGCAACCCTAGACGAACCCTGGCAACGACGCTCAGCTGAACATCCAGTTGGTCCATTTTCCAAGAATGACCGTGCAATGTTTAGCCAGATCTATCCGGATTCATTTTTCCCCTCGGCCACAGGCGTGTTGGTTTGGGAGGAAACCAGTCTTTGCTTGTTTGCCCATTCGAGGCCGCAAAGGGTCTCCATTTTGTTGAGGATCCGGGGCCTTCCGTTGGAGCCAATGAGATCAGTGCGACATGTTCTGCACACTGACAGGCCAACCTTTCGTTTCCGGTGCAAAGGTTCTACAGAGAATGCCACGCGGGCAATGCGAAACCGTGTGTTCAGGTCAGAAATCGCTCAGGTGGTTGGCTTGGGCGAGACAAACGGCAGTTTGATTTACTTGGGTCAGGTCACATATGATGAATCCCAAGAAGTTTCCGCAGGAATCAAGAGTTTCGGCTGTTGGGGTCCATGATTCGCGGATTCCAATGCTTGTTGCGAGCTTGTCGGGTCAAGGCAAGCCGACTTACCTCTTCTTGCTGTGTGATGCCTGACCATAGCATGATCCAAGACTGCAATTCAGTTGAGATATCCATTCCATGCCTTGCTGTCATTACTTCACTGTTCCTGGCAAGTTGTGGGTTTTTGTTTTGTTGGTTCTGTTCATGATTAGAAGGGAGCTGGCAAAAACTGGTTTGCTACCATACCAAGGGTTGTGAAGATTAAGTCGTGTTTGTTGCTCAAATGCCAGTGCGCAAGGAGAGACATTCGGACACTCAACCGGAAAGGTCCCTGCGCTCGAACGCTTTCCATGCGTTCCTGGAAGATCATTAAACCTTTCATGGGCCTTACCTTTGGTTTCCTCCGATGGATCTTCGCACGCAAGGCAACGCAGAAGAACTTGGCCTTACTAATGCCTGGTAGCAGCCCGAGCCACCCACGCATGCCAGCGTGTGGCGAGATCATCAGCATGCTCGTGGTTTTCTTTCAATGTAAGTTGCTCAAAGGCAGGCAGGCAGGTGGGCTGGCAGGCAGGCAATTTGTGAGGTCAGGTGGCCACGTTGGAGTGTCAAGATGTAGATCGCCCTTGCCAAGGCTGCGCTTCTTCATTGACTTGGAACAGACATTGCAAGGGTCTGGGCCCAAGATCCCAGACAAACTCCGAGACATTAGCCACACAACCTGGTGAGACAGTTTGAGGGCAGTTGTGACCAGCAGGTGCAGATATCCTCTCGTTTGATCCCACCTCTGGGTCAACCTGGAACCTCGTCATCCCATGGAGGCATTGTTTTCAATCAGCTCTCCATTGGAGCGATTCCTTGCAGTTGTTCGGTTGCGCCGGCCCAGGGTGCTGTCTCCCAATCGCGGGCTCTTTGACCGCCTGCCGTTGCAGGCCAAAATCAGTGATGTGTCACTTGTGCTGTGCGTAGTGCATGTCCTTGTGACATGTGTGAGTGCATGTTTGTTTGCCTTTTTTAGTCTTTGCACTTAACGTCCGCCTGTGCTTGCGCGTGCGCTTACACTTGCTTGAATGCGTGTGCGTCTGCTTTTGTATCCGTGTTTCCATTTGCACGTTCACGGTTTCCTCGTTTGCGTGTGTTCCTGCTTTTGTGCTCGCTCGCAGAGACAAGAAAGGATGAATGAAAGAAAACCACAAAAGGAAAGGAAATAATAATAACAAAACAAAACAGAAAACATGACAAGCAGCAAGAAGAGGAAAATAAAGCAACGACGACAATGATAACTGAGGCTTTGCATTGTTTGAGACTTCCGCCCACCGGCATTTCCGGCTCTGCTGGTGTTGTGTGTTTGAAGGTGCATCGGTGATTATTCTCGTGGCTTCGACGGCATGGATGTGCGAGCTTCTGAGCGTGTTAAACAATCAGCGAGTGAATCAGATACTCAGTGTGCCTGTGATGAATCTGGCTCTAAGTCACAGTGAGTGAATCAGTGATCAAATGGTTAAAGGAGTGAAGAACTGAGAGATGCGTGAGTCAGCAAATGGGCGGGTGGATAAGCGGGTCCGTGCGTAAGTGAGTAGGTAAGCGAGCGACTGCCTCAGTTGTTTGTTGTTTGCTTGCTGTTTTGGGGTTTGTTTGGTTTGGTTCGGTTTGCTAATTATTTTTGTTTTGTTTGATTGCTTGCCTTCCTGTCAGTCAGTCTGTCTGCCTGTCTGGCTGTCTGCTTGTTTGTTTGTCGGTTTATGTGTGTGTGATGGTTTCTCGCGTGCAGGTCTTTATTTTCTTCTCAGCAGTCTTGACGCATAAGCACGGGCACTTCCGCTGACCACAGTCAGGATGCATTGTCAGATGCTTTGAGATTCATTTGATTGTTGGGCAGCGTCATTGCAAGGGCGATTGTACTTCGCGTCTCGCGGGGCGCTTTTACCCTGATCCTTGCCAGGTGAGGTCACAAGCAGTTCGCGCCCACTGCAAGGCATTGCTGGCGAACGCTTCTTGACGCTGGCCCAATACCGAGCTCACTTGGAAATGAGATTTGTCCATGAAAAGGCGCTTTGTCCGGGGATTTGAATTTGTTGCCAGATGGTAACTTAGTTCAATCAGTTGAGATGTTTGCTTTGTGCACTGGCTCGTTGTTGCAGGCCTGGGCTCGTCTTGCTCCATAGGAGTTTCCGGAACCATGGCGCGTCGTATTCCGCTGGATGCGGCCCTGACGAAGTTCAATGCGGTGCAGAAGCGCTTGGAGGGCGTCGCAGACCTGGTGGGCTTTGAGCAAGCCTTCGGTCAATGCCCCACCGGCCTGCAGGCCATGTTCACGGTATCCTGGCGCAAAAGTGGGCGCAGAAAATGAGCGGCAGAAAATGAGCGTTTATTGTGTTCATGGGCCATGATAGTTCTGCCTGTGTGTGTGTGTTGTTTAGGGGACCGCCCTTTTGGTTTCCCTGTGAAACCAACTCAAACACAACACAATAAACCTTTAGAAGCATCGTAAATCCCAAAGTCAGCTCGAGATTTGAGCGTTGTGTCGCCAAGGCATTTCACAGCTTTTGCAACATTGCGTCTCATATGCGCATGCGATGCTGAGGTATACCAAGACTCAAGCAGGACGCCGCTTCAAGCAGCCAGTTGAAGGCATGAATGTGTCACGGTCAATGCAAGACAATTGCAGTTTGCAACGACAGTTTGAAAGTCTTTGATTCAGATAAGTCAGGCTGATGTATTTTGCTTCTTCTGGGAAGATGGGCGAAATCCCACGAAAGGCCATCCTTTCTCTACTGCCATTGGGTTGGATCTTTAGGCTTTAACTTGTTGGATCCCCCTCATATGTCCTTTTTACCGGCAAACAGTTGCTCAACTTTTTGCTGGGGAATCTACAGCAACCATCCTTTCGTGAGTTCTAAAACGGGCAGGTTGAGAATTGGCAGGAACTTCTTCACCCATCTCCTGCCCTTCATCGTAGACTGCGCCAGCCGCTTGCGATAAAAATCGGATTATCGGGTGGCGCCTGGGTCGGTCCCATCCCGGAAGGTCGCTTGGAGTGGGGGAACGACCGTAGGTGTTCTTGTTGGTTGGTTTGGTGGAAAAATAGGTGGTTCGCTCATCTACTAGGGCCATCTATTTTGCGAACAACCCTTCAATGTTCCCTTGAAATTAGAAGGACTGTACAGCTTGGGATTAGAAGGACTGTACAGGGCTGGTTCCCCCTCTTAATCCTCAGGACGAATCCCAAGTTGAACACTGCACTAACAGCCCCGATTGTTTTGGGGCCGCTGGTTCATGACTCAGGATGCCGGGGGGTGTTTACCTTTCGAGTTGAAAAGTTTGCCACCAATGACTGACATGGGGGTTGATGAAAAGGTCCTAGGAGACAGGAAACAGGAAACAGGAATCAACTGCCACATGGAGCCGGAGGTTCCCGGGACCTGGTCCCAAGGAGAATGCTCCGAACCGATGCCCCGCACGGATTTCCGGATTTCCCACGGGTCTGGTGGGGAGTTGGCGGCCCCCCTCCCCCAGCGCGAGGCCGACTGCCGGCGGAGGAGCTCAAAGTGCTGGTCCAGGGCAGAACCGACAGGCGGGGGAAGCCCCCATAACTTCCGGTTGCTTAAGATTGTTTATTATTATTATCATTATTATCATGTTTGTGTTATTATTATTAGTATTTATTAGCAGTCGTATTATTATTATTTCCCCTGTTGCATTCAAAGGGAATCGATTTCACTACTGGATGTACAATTTTCCCAGGGGTCTTAAGCAAATGGAGGATAAGCCTCGGCCGGCCTTTCTGCTCGTTGCAAGGGTAGCAGTGGACCAACGAGGGTTCAATCTATATTTCCCTTCTTGGCAGTTTTAAGCAGCACCTGCGTGTGTCCATTTAACGCGCGCGTCTCTTCATGGGGATGATGTTTTGAGAAGAAATATAGGAAGCCCTGCAAGGGTCCTGATTTTGTTGTACCCTCAGCAGCCTGCTGTTCTTTGTTGAAAGCTGCAGTGTAATGGAACAGCTCATTTGGCAGCCTGGATGAGATTGAGCGTTCTTGGGCGCGAGGGCCCTCGTAGGCATTCGAGTAGGCTGTAGCCGGTCCCCCCTTTTCTGGCTCATGCCAATGTTGACGACATGGGCTTCCGTCAGCCGAAAAAGCCTTTGTGAAGGAACTGGGCTCGGAAGAATGCCATGCAAGCAGCAAAAAGGGGCTTCGTAAGCTTTGTATGTTCCTGGACGCGGACTTCGCACACAACGCGTGCCACGTAGGCAGTTTGAGCAATCGCGTAGGCGGGCGCAGGCACAAAGGCCTTTGCTGGCGTAAGCGTGTGATACGTCACTGGCATTGCCGTACCAAAAAGATCTCTGCTCGTTGCTCTTTTGAACGGACTTCAATTGGAAAGCAGCAGGCTATGCGACGACCACGCACGAGTGAGCCTTTGGCTAGTAGGGGGGCTGTAGGGTTGTGTCACGCCACGTGCACTTTGGTCTGAGCGCGGGGAAAGGCGAGGGACTACGCTGAGGCTGTTCCTGAGTCGGGAGATGGTGCTCAGCTTGCTGGCGCCGCTTGGAGAGCAGAAGCCTTGAGCACTTTGTGCCGCATTAAAGTTTTGGTGGATGTGGCTTCCCTTTAAAGCAACCCCAAATAGGGTACCCTCAACAAAAACGAGCCGCCCGTGCGTGCGGTCGAAATTCCGTTGTATGTGTTAGGCCGGAAGCGCTCGGCAAGGATTTACCTCGGAACCATGAGGAGGAATATGATGGCTCATGTTCAAACCAAAGGGCAGCCATAAAGTCATGCCCATTTGGAGAAGCCAGTGCTCGCGGTCCGGCCAATCCCTGAGCTCGGAACCAGGCGGGCAGGCCCCCACCGAAGGAACAAATGAGGTCTGTTCGGAAAACGGATTGGTTTTGCCATGAGTTGTTTATGCTTCTTGACTTGATCATGTCATGGTTTTTTGTTATCTTGTCAAACGACGTGTAAGTCTCACATTGGCTTAGGACTGCCCGCAGACAATATGATGCTATTTGGCCACATTCACATGTAATTACCAGCGAATCTTCTGACAACTCAATACTCAACCTGCGTTTTCGTCAACACTCCCTGGAACATCGTTGGCTCATCGAGGTATGCTCGAGTTGGAAGATCCGGCCTAGAGTGAAAACACATATTCAACCGGGTGCCTTTTGGCACCCGGCACCCAAAAAAAGCCGATCCCGTAAAGAGGCAGGCACGGCTAGTTGGATTAGGGGATCATAAACAGCCTACTGCATGTGGCTTTTTTAGGGTACCCCCCCCCGCCCCGGAACAAAAAAAGCAAAACACACACCACGAAACATCCACATACGGCGGCTGTCCTTTAGTGGTGTCCCTTTGAACACCAACCCAAAAGGGATTTGCCTGGAAACCGACAGACCCTACTCACGAATTGGACATCAGAACTCCGCTTTTCCTGTGGGGAAGAGTGTGCGGGTCGGGGTATTTCCCTTACTCGGTCTGAGGCATCACCTCAAAAGCAACAGTTGGCACCCCAAATCCCCCCCAGTGTCAGTGGAATCGAGGGTTGCAATCTGTGAGGTTCAAAAGGTATCCCCCACCAACGTAGGGGCAAACCCCGAACGAGGCTTCCCCATCTGGGGAATCGGGAATAGTACGCATCGAATGGAAGGCCCGTGTTGCCGGCTTTCCCTTTACTGGGGCGGGCGGTTGCACTCGGAAACAGGATCTAGAATCTGCAGGGCCATCTGACAAGTGCAATTTCAATGGCGGCGCATGTCGCCCCGGTTTCTATGCGGCTGCAAGGAGTTGAGTGCAAAGTTCACCTAAAGCCCAAGCGACAAAAAGGTGTGTAGGCCAAGCATGGTTCATTTTTTTCTGCGCCGAGTGCTTGAATCACACTGCATTTCGGTGCTGCACGTGTCGCACGGTGTTCACCCTGCACAAAGTGTTGTTTTTTCCCCAGGGGTAGAGATACAGTACTCCCATTTGCTGTGCCAAATCGCCCTTGTGCAATTTCCTTCAAGTGGCCCTAAAGGACCACGAGAAGGGGACGGAGCAGTGTTTTGTTCCTTTTAGTCGAGGACCCCCATTTTTCCCTCCAGGTTTTTTCCCCACTCAGTCTGAGGCACATGTTCCTTTGCACGTTGACCGTAGTGGACGACAACATGCCCCACGTGGGCTTCGATTGTTTGCTCTTTCCCCGCCGACCAGCTCGTCAGGAGCTCATGCACAAATCAAGCTCCTTACGTGGGTGTGCCTTGTGTTCTATATCCATTTTGGTGGCTACAAAAGGGAAGCACAAATAAGGAACCCCGCAAAACAGCCGTGGGGGTTGGGTCTATGAAAGTGATACACATTGTGCGGCAAACGGTGAACGTGATTTCCACGACCCGAAGACGATCTGGAGATCCACCATCAAAGCCCAGTTTAGCTCATAGGTCACTCGCAGCTGATTTGGATAGAGATGGGTCAGGTGAGCAGCTAAAACATTTGTAGACGACGCTTAGCTTGGATCACATGGGGGCCAACCCACATGTCCAGCCGCGGGACGGGCAGGGGCAATTTTCCAAAGTGCTCTCGGGGAACAAGTACATGATTGATCATGTTTGTTTGCTTTCCCACGCGCAAACTGCATGTGGATATTATCTGACATACCAGACGTACAATCAATATGCATCCTAGAATCATAGCCAAAAAAAGACGATGGAAGTGGTTTGCCTTTCTTTGCCAGTTCGTACTTGTTTTTTCTCCCCCACTGATCAGGAGGTCGCAAAGCTGCGGATGTTTGTCCACTACTTCGAGCGCTGCAGGCAAATTGACCACTGGCGGAGCGCGGAGCCCACTTAGATTTGAGGGGTTGAATAATTGTTGACCCCGCATCAAGAAACCCCTGTCTGTTAATTAATATGGGTGATTCATCATTGTTGGAGGGGAACACCGCCATTTTGGTTGATTGGTATGGGGTCAACATGATTATGACTGAATTTGGAAACCCCACAGCACCATTTGTTTTTAGCCAATATGGCACTCTTGAGGGCATTCTGGGAGGGATGTCAGGGCCACTCCTCCAGTTTTGGTCATGTTTGGCCCCTACCTTTTGATGTTGCAGCAAACTCTCATTTGGGTGTTTCCGGCGCCTGGAGCGCCTAGCCTTGATTTCCCTTCAAGCTGCAGAGCTGTTCTTTGTTGCACGGAACCGTAAGCACGAGGTAAGCTCGGTATGACCCATGCGACGTTTAGGAACGCAAGCGCTATGAGAAAATGAGCCGATGAAAATACCTTTTTCTGGAGCCCAAAAGCCCACAAGATACTGCCTAAGATATGGCGATTTCTAGGCCTTATAGGCAGGGACTTGTGCGACGCACGAGCCTCACGAGCGATTCGCGCAAGCTGGTAGCTTGGAGAGTGATGGCGCAAGGCCTGAAACCAAATACGGCCGAAGTCCGAAGACCGGTTCTTTTCGTGAAACGCCAACCAAAAAAATGGAGGTTTTTTGGCAGGTAGGTGGGAAAAAATGGTCATAGTACGTGTTGACCGCGGATTGGTCAAACTCGCCGAGCAGCGTGTTTTTTTTTTCCCCCCAGATGTGTGTGTGTTTTTTTTCTAGATCTGAAATGGGACAATGTGATGAAGCAGGTTTTTTGTCAAGCGCATCTGAAATGGGATGTGATATCTGGGGTGTTCCCAGCCATCCCCTTAGGTTAAACTTGTAGCACGGGATCTTAGGATAACCCGGTCAATTCTGAAATTAAATATTCTGTAGACATCTTTGTTTTTTGGGTGGGGAAATTCGGGGGGAAATCCGTATGGACCCACAAGTTGACCACTTTTTGCGGAGGATTCGTCGCCAACAGGGGGTCATGGCATCCTTCACGTGCCCCCGTTTTGGCGCGCGGAAGTCCAGGCAGGAAATGCCCAAGGGCGAGCTGCGCATCTACCGACAAGCGCGGGAGGGACGGCAGAACTGGAAGGCCTGATCTTGCTCGGGTGAGGAACGAGTGGTGGTGGGTCAGAAGAATCTGGAGCCCAAAATGGAACCCAAACTGGGTTGGTCGGGTAAATGGAAACATGAACTAAACATTTTCAGGTCCCCTGGCGGTTTAATTTTGACCCATGCCCATGTCGCGGTTTTGTTTGGCCCTTGTTCGGCGAAAAGGTTGCTGTGGCAGATTTGACTTTTTAAGTGTTGGGTGGTGTCCGAGTTCAGGGTGATGGGATATCAGGCCTGGGGCTGGGGCTGGGGAGGGGTGGTACCGTTCAAAAGGAGTTGCCAAAACTCATTTATACAGAGTCCGAATATGAAACTGAATCCGAACATATGGGATTACCCCAGATGGCCAATTTTTTGTTGAGGGGGTTGCTGAGGATGCAGTCGATTGTTCACCCCAGACTTTTGGAGCAGAGCCAATGTGCCACACTTATGCAACATGTCAAACCTGCTTCATTGGGAGTCCTAGAGATAGGTATGAATCCTTCAGTCATGGCAACCATGACTGGAACCCACTGGTTTCCTCATGAGTTCATTAGCACTTGTTTAAGACTCTTGCCGGGAGGGTATTTCAAAGTGGTCAGCATCCATGGTTCTAACCCACCAAAATGACTTGCTAGATACCCTGTCCCCCTTAAGTAGCCCATCTCCCAAACTTGCACTATGCCAAAGCAAAGCAGCAGCCCCCACTCGTTGGACATCGTGGCAGTTTTTGTAGGGGGTGCTTGAAGGTTTGAGCCCGCCCCCCCCCCCCCACCCCCCTCACCTGAAAAAGATGGTTTCCAGCAAGCCACCCCAAAACAAACAAAGCACACCCACCCCCCAGCAGGCGGTTGTTTGGGCAGTTGCGAGTTTGGGCACTTTCAAAAAAAGGCCAGAAACCTTGGGGGAGAGAAATTGCTGGACAAGACCTACGCGTGTTCTTTCCACAAGAGTGCCTTCTCTTTTTTCGGAGTCACCCATGGTGTGGCAACGCTTTTTTCGTGTGGAGTTTCGACTCGGGAAACTTCAGGTCGGTTGCGCCTCTCTTGCAAAGTGCGCTCCCCATCTAGGTCCCCCAGTAGTGCCTTGCTACCCTTTCTCTTTTGGTTGGGAGGTTTACACTAAAATAGACTACCGCAAAAAACATGGGAAAAAACAGTTGGTACCAACTTCTTCTATCCTCTGAGATCTGGAGGACCGAGCCATGGTCTCGGTTCGTTTTGGATGTTTCGAGGACTCCACCCGGCCACTGCTGGCCATGGACTGTGCTCCTCCCATGACCGGCTTCGAGGACCCTAAAATTTTCGGCGAGATCCGAAAAAACATCGCTGGGTACCCCTCTACCGCTCTCGGGTTGGATCTTTAGACTTTATGGATTCCCTTCATATGTCCTTTTAACCAGCAAAAAGTTGAACTTTTTGCTGGGGCATCTACAGCACCCAACACTCGGTCAGCCTTTGGTCGGGGTTTCCTTTGGCTTCCTAGTTCTCCCGGGTGTTGGTGGTGCAGTGTCCATTTAACCCGCCAAAAGTGAACGTTTCGGAAAATCTGAGGACAGCCCGGATTCCCTATGGTTTCCAACGAGAAAAAAAACAACCAAAAAAAAAGCAACGCTGGAATGTGCGCATGTTGAAGGGGATGAAGAGAGCGTCCAGCGCTGGAAGAGGTCGATTTCCTTGTCACGGTGTTCCCAAAAGCGGGGGTGGGAGGATCAAATTGGTTGGAAGCTCCTAGTGCCCGAAATTTGGGCCCCGGGTTTGCTAAAGGTGGATCTCGGTTGCTGGGTTTTCTTCCGGTTTCCCCATAAACACCCTTTTAAAAAGGTGTCCCGAATTTTGAGCCGATCCCCAAAATCGCCGGTGTCCTTGCGCTTTCCCCACCACCGACTTCAAGCCGCCCTCTGGTGCTTCCAGTTCGACGTGGAACCATCCTTGCTAGCTTCCAGAATCGGTTGGGGGTCAAAGGGCCTTCTTGACTCCCAAAATGGAGGTGTTGCCTTTTGGCTTCCTTTTAAATCCACTAGAAGGGGGTTCCCCCAAGAAGACACGCCTATACTCCCCGAGCTCTTTGGTTGCATGGAAAACCATTCGACCAACAGGGGGCTTTAGACAACCAGTGAAGTTCGCACACACGTCCCTATCAGATGATCAGGATACCCTGAAAAGAATGGAACTGGTGGCTTGGATTGGGGATTTGTTTTCCCCCTTCGTGTAGCTGCAGGGAGGTTTATCCCACCTCCAAGCCACACGAGCCCGGAAGAAATCTGCGGGATTGAGAGATTCGCCCGTTGAAAGTGAAGACTTGCTGCTTGGGAAGTGATGGGATTTCCCAAAACGGCAACAGCTTACCTGAGGTTTGGACTACAGAAAAGCGTGGTTGCAACTGGGATGGTAAGAACCTGTGGTTCACTGACTTAACCAAAGATGACGTGGGGGTGGGGGTTCATCAATATTCCATGGAGGGCCCCAAAATTGGGTAGCGTTGCCCATTGTGGTGAGAGTCATCTTGTTTGGTGGTTTCCCGAATGATGATCTCATGATATCACGGCCTTTGGATCAACACCCATGCATCCCTTTCTCTGCAACCCTTGGTATGGTAGCAAAAAGAACATGTTTGTTGGCAGTCCAGTCAAAATGAGCAGAGCCAAACAAAGAGCAAAAAAACACAAAACAGGGGTTCTGGGCGGATGTTGGCTTTTTTCGCAGGACCCGTCAGGCAACGGCTGCCTCCACGCAGACTTCGCCAACAAGTTCCTGGGGGGCGGAGTCCTGGTGGGGGGATGTGTGCAGGAGGACGGGGCCCCAACAGAAGCAGCGATCTCCTTTGAGCCCATCTCCGAAGTCTGACACTTGTTGGCTCCCAGCCATCCGGTTCCTGAGCTTTTGTTCGCCCCTTTTTTGTTTTCGGTGTTCCTTATTTTAGCCACTGAAAAGTTGGTCACTTTTAGCGGATCTGAGGACAGTTTAGTGTATGTGCAACTTTCCGCAAAGACAACGAAAGGGATCCCCTTGAAAGTGATAAAGGCATCATGGCAGGATTTAATTCATTCTGCAGGGTATAGTTGTATGTCTCATCTCTTGTGAAGGTCGCAGAATATGACCCTTGACTCCTGTAGATGTTTCACTTGTATGACCAAAGAAGACATGGGTGTGTCCTTTTGGAGGATGTCCGTGTTGGATTTGTTTGGAAGACAAACGACAAGGAAGCCATTCATTTTGGGTGTCCATGTTGGGGAACCACCCATGGCACATTTGACACACACAAGCTCAAGGAAGCCGGAGCTGGCTGGTTCGTAGTGATTCTGGAGCATCCCACAACATGCTTTGTTGCACATACTAAACAAACAAACAATCAAACAATCAAACAAACAAACAAGCAAGCAAGCAAGCAAGCAAGCAAGCAAACATACAGAAACACGCAAGCAAGCAAAGCAAGCAAGCAAAGCAAGTAAACAAACAACCAGCGAACCAACCAAACAAACAATCAAACAAGCAACCAAACAAGCAAACAAACAAACAAACAAACAAACACGCACACGCACAGAGACCCCCACGCTCACACACGTACACGCACAAGCCATGCGCACACGCACACGTCATGCGCACCTACACCTATTACTCACACCTGCACCCTGCAGGCGCGCGCTCGCGCGCAAGCACAGAATCACACAGACTAGCCGTTGGCAGCTTGAGCTGCAGGGACACCTGATCTCCCTCACCCACTGCGCGCGCGACCGGTTTGGGCACAAGCTCGGCTGGCAGTGGAAGTGATCACCGGTTCGAAACCCAGGGACGCATTGGGTGCGCCCGTTTTTAGTTTTTCGCGGGAGCCAAGCCAATTAGGCACAGAAATTTCAGTCCTGAGCAGGGTCAAACTGGGGCAAAATGGTCAGAACTAGGGTTTTGGCCCGACAGGGGGATTAAAGGCGAGGGGGAGAACCTGTACGCATGCAGTGAAAATGAAACAAACACCATGGCAGTACAGGGACCCCCTGGACTATTTTCCCGCGAATTTCAGCGCAGATCTTGGGCTGCCCTGTTTCCTGGCATTTTTGAGGTGCCCTGGTTCTGATTAAATGAGGGGTACTAGTAGGTGAATTGTGAAAACGTGGTTGGCAAAACATATGTTCTTTACCACTTGCAGTTGCAAATGATGCATTGAGGGGCGACCATTCAATTTACAACATGAGCCAAAAGCAATTCAGATGACCCCTGCCTTCAGAACTAGTCCGACCCCCGGCCATCCTAGGAGTCCGAAGGCGGTTTGGAAGGGGGCCTCTTGAACAGGGTGTCGTTTTCTTTTTGAGTTGGTACTTTTTGGCCGGGGGAAAGCAAAAGGATTGCACCATAGACCCCAGCGAAGTACCAGCGATTGCACGCCAGCACCTCTCTCAGCACTGCCCGAAGAGCGCCTCAACCACCCGAAAAACAGCATCCCAAAACAGCAGCTGCACAAGAATCACCAGAATGCATGCCCCCTAGCACCCCTCCGTCAATCGCGCCCTTGCCAGCACCCCGAACAGCACCCCCAAATGGCACTCCCAGAGCACCCGGCCGTCGCACAAATGCGACCGCACCGTCACCAGCGCCTCAAACAGCGCCACACTCGCACATCACTTTCCCTTCTTTAGAACCCCTATAGCTTTCAACCATCTGGGCAAAATCCGTTATTCAAAGCCCCCGATTCGGCCAAAATGGATGCTGTCTGGGCAAGTTTTGTTTTGAGCCCTTGGTACCCTTTTTTTTTTGCGCCCAATGCAACGGCTTCACCGGCTTCTGCCAAAGGGCAAGGCGTCCTTCGTTTTGGGGGAGTCTGCAGCTATGCCCTTCAGGAGATCCGCTTCTCCATTTGCCCGGAGCTGTGCGCGGCCATGGTTGTAGCTGGGTTTTTTTATCGCCCAGGTGGGGTTTTGAGGGTAGCCTTTCTCACCCGGGTTTGAAGGGAATCGAAAAGGACCACACTAACTAGATGGCTCCCCCGAGTTCGGCTTTTAACAGTGGGGCTCTTGCGTGCTGATGTTTGTCCACGAGGTATGCCCCTACATGCTGGACAATGAAGCCATCACCATCATCGGGGGAGAGACTCGGTGCTCCAAAATTTGTGAGAAATAGAAGACCATTCGAAGGGTTTTTCGTTGGTTTTAAGGGGAAGCAAAAAGAAGACACACCCAGTTGGTGCATTGGGAGGTTCTAAGGTCGAGGGCTATACCTAACCCCACCAAATTCAAGCAAGATGATTGCAGTTCGGCACATTGGCCGGGATCGGATCCGCGTGTGGGAGAGAAAACCACATGGACCCCTTGTTAGGGCCGATTTGTTGGTCCCCTGCAGCTGCAAGCAAAGTGAATGACATCACTTGAGACGTGGGTTACCATTCAAAGGCAAACCAAGTTGGTGCGAGTTTTAATACGGGACCCTTTGGTGGGGGATTCATGTCCACCCGCTGAGGTGGATACCTATGCCAATAGGAGATCAACCCGTTGCCCGTGGTCCGATTCCTGGGTTGGCCAAAAAGCTTCTCTTTGGCCATTCCTCGGGGGAAAGGCGCCAGCTCTCAAACTGGTGGCCGAAAATCCCAGCCGGTTGACTGCAACTCTCGGTTTCTCAGCCGAGGGGTGCACACGAGGCCTCTTAGGACTCGAACTAGGAAAACAGGGGCTTAGCCGGACAAGCTCAGAAGGCCGGAAGCCGCAAGTCACAAGCTACAAGTCATTGAAGCAAACATTTTCAGGTTGGGGTCTTGCTGAGGACATCCGATTTGAAACGCCCGCTAGGCTCTGAAACAGGCTCTTTGCGATAGAAAAAAATGCGCGACATCAGAGGAAAGCGAGACTGAATTGCTTGGTCACAAAAAACGGATCGACAGAAACAGAGAAGAGTGTGTCCCTGGAATTCCATAGTTTCTTGTTCCACATTCACTTTGCGAGACAAAAACCTTAGCCTGCCCAATGGGAACCCAGGCTTAGCCCACTACTTGGGGGGGGGGGGGGGGGGGGGGCGGGGGTGTCCCCCACACAAGTGATAGATATTTGTTGGACCTTATTTTCACCCAAGGGGTTATGGCATTGCCCAGGGGGCTTCCTTCCGTCTCAGGAGCAGTTCTGTAGCTACAAGGGCTACGGCCGATCCCTGGAGTTTGACGCCAACTACCGGGACCCCTCCCCCAAGGATGCCGATGGTACCGTCCTAGTGGCGATCACTGCCATGGACGCCTTGGATTTCAGGCACCAGGACGGACCGGGGAGTGTCCTCGAAAATGGGACGCCTGTGTATGGCTTGGAATGGAAACTACCAGCGAGCGTCTTTTCATTGACTGTGCCTCCATCCGTATGGTTTCAGAAGTGCTGGCAAGGCTGCATCGTCGCTCTTTGATGGCATCTTTTACGTTTCGTCAACGGCCTCTAGCAAAGGATTAAACTTTGGGGGTCCGCGACCAATCCATGGGCTTTTGCTTGGAGAAACTTTCCGGCCGCTGGATGTGCTCGGATCGAAAGCTTGACCAGGCCAAGCCAGATTCTCGGTGGTGCTCAGCTGGCAAACACGTTCTGAGATTGCTATGACACCAAACACTAGTTGCTTCGAGGCAGATTCGAGAAAACCTTTTTTTTTGGATGAGGAGGTTGAACTTCAGCGCCTGAACCAAGGGCTCCCAACAGTGGCCAATCCCACAAAAACCTACCACCCAAACAAGCGCGATTCGGGCCCCCGTGATATGTTGTGTTTCTCCTACCCTCAGCATCGTGGGTCCTCAAAAGGGCCCTTGTTGAGGTCCAAAACCTTTGAATGGAGGTCCTAACCCCTACCAATGATGCTTAGGGTACCCAAGACGTTTAGAACAGGGTTGTGGAATCACTCGGGGTTTATCCAACCACGTCTGTGATACAAGTTGGAATCTCCCCCTTTGTATATTTTGTATGGGGGTTAGTCTTTGGGGTTAGGCCCTATCACAGATGCGTGGATTCCATTTCAACAGCGGAAAAGGACCCCTCCGGTTTCATCGGATCCGTCAGGACTCCAGCGTGTCGAGGCAGCTGCAGGAGCCTTTGCTTCTGAGAGAGCTTGAGAAAGCGGCAGCGGCCTTTGCCCCCGTGGACGAGGCTCGAAAGTCGAAATCTTTCGGGCCATCTTGCTGGGTATCTGCTAGGTCCCCCCAGCTAGGTGCCAACTTTTACCGTTTCTTTTTTGAGGGAGGGAACTTCCCCGACTAAAATAGACGACAGGAAAAAAACAAGTTGGTACCAACTTATTCTAAGCTCTCTACTGGAGGACCTGGACTTGGATCATGAGACTTATCGACCAGAATCCAAGACACTGTCTCTGGGCAAGCGCTGCAGTAGCCAAGCTTGAAACCCATCTACTCTCGGGTAGGAACGCTCTTGTTTCTGTCAGGAGTTTTGAGTGGGCGCGAGCCCGATTCCTGTAGCGCATGTATTTACTGCGGGTTTATTCAAGCTTAAGGGTCAGCCACAAGGGTCCACTCGATTCCCTCTTCCTTGCAAGCCAACTGCGTCTCACTCCCCGAGTTTCTGGACTTCATATTGGGGAAGACCACTTTGGTGGCGCTCGTGGCATACAGCTTGGACCTTTCTGGGTCATGAGGCATTGCAACGAGTTTCTGGTCCGAAGCGTCCGTCATTTCAGGCGGCATTGGCGCAATGGCCGGTCATCGCCACGGGCAACTGGGGCTGCGGTGCATTTGAAGGCGCGCTTGGCGGGGCAGGGATTTGGCTCGTTGAGCCGTGCCAGGATTTGTTTGAGAGAGAGGCTGTGTAGAGCTTGCAGCTTGCGTGTGTCGCACTCCGAGTCCATTTTCCCAATCCACAGGTCTTCCCTTTGTTGCAAGCTTGGATAAGTTGTGGAGGGACTTTGTTCCTGCGTTTTAAGCCACCCCTCCAACGCCGAGAACCCGAAACTCTTTTTGAGGCCAAGATCGAAAGGAGGAACACGTGTACCACTAACAAGACAACACGACCATGGTCGAGGCTATGTCTTTAGGGGACCCCCTCAAATACCGTGTTTTCCTGATGTTGCTTCTCTTTAAAACCAACCATCGGAGGGTTGCAACCATAGGTGTCGTTTTGGTTGTTTTGGTCGAAGAATAGATGGCGATTCCTGGTTTTTACCTGGTGGTTTAATCATCTACCAGGGAAACCCATCTATTTCCCCTAAAGGGACACCTACGGTCGTGAGTTGATCCCGTTCTTGGGGAGGGGTTCGAAGGGAAACCAAAAGGACACCACCGCAAAATGGGCTTTGGAGGTCCAAATCCCCAATTTCGACACAATTCTGGCACATATGGTTGCAACCAACAAAAACAACGCATGGCGCCGTTCGATCGGGAAACAAAAACTGATCGACAGGCTGCCTGCAGCTGAAGGCTTTGCTGCAGTGGATTGCCGCCAGTGAGGGTCGCAGGTGCCATCTCTCACAGCGCATCCCCTAATCACCCATGAAATCCCTTGAAGCGATTCGGGGTCGGGGGAGTGACCTTTGGAACGATTTTCTTTTCTTGGGGGCTTCAACTGGCCAATTCTATATGTGCGTTAAAATGTGTCGATTCTATATGAGCTCTAATCAAGAACGTCCCTTTCCAGGACCGGCTAGAGCGGGAAAGTGGGGGGGATTCTTCCTCCCTTCCCCAGGTAGATGCCAAGGCAAACAGGAGGCTCAAGGACACTGTCGGCTTCCAACCGGTGCCTGGGCAAAAAATGTCAGGCTATGGCGAGGTCCTTCAATTGGACATGTTCAGGATACATTAAGCGGTATTGGACGTGCTATCCTGATGTTTCCGATTGTTTCTGGACAGAACCTTAGTTTTCAATTGTATTTTCCGATCTTAAGCCGTGTTCGCACTTTACAAATGAAAGTTGTTGGTTTTCCAAGGCAGTCCTGCCATAGGCATGCTGGCAAGACGGCAACCACTGGCTGAATCAAGGCCGACCCTTTGACCTTTGACCCTGACGGATTCCCGTCTCGTTGTTTTTCTCTCCGTCTCACATGCATTACTACAACTCAACACCGTGGGGCGGGGCCATAGCTTCGATTCAAAGAGCCTTGCCCGGGTGTTACTAAAAACTATTGGTTTGCCTTTGCGTTAAGAGCCTGGAGTGGCTCTTATTGAAGGGGCTAACACGTGGCTGTGGCTCAAAACTACACTGGAGGGGGTACGCGGGTTTTGGTCCATGTTTCCACTTACCAAGGTTCCATTACCATGTGTTGTTCCACATCTGACAGGAAGCTCTTATACTTCCCCTTCGACGAGAACATCGGCCCGGACTTGTCTCGGCTTTCCCAAGACCTCTGTGCAGCAGGCGGAGCGGAGTATCCAGTAGAACCCTCCGGGCAAGCCAGTATAGTAGGCGACCGACAATCTTGCTTTTGGTTTAATGTAAAGGGTGATAAAAGGTGGTTCCCTTGGATACTACACTACACAGGGAATTGGAAGCATGGCGTAGCAATGCGTAGCATACATATAGATCTTGCCCAAAAGTACGGTGAAAACCTGTCGGACCTGGATACATCTTTGGTTTTCCTGGTCGCAACGCGAGCTTCATGCCCGGCTCCGAACGACCACCTTGGCATGCGGCGCTTTCCAGTGTGCTTCCCATTCATTGGTGGGGCCCAGCTATTTTCAACCCACTGTTTCTGTCAATGCCTTTTAGTTTGTAGGGCCCTCAAACCAAAAGTTGGAGAGTTGGGGAAAAAATCAAGACACAAAAGAGAAAGACGGGTTTTCTTGGGGCCCGCCGACGCAAAAGCTTCCGGTTGCCAGGCATCACAGCAGGCCAGCTTTTTGCGGCGCTCACCACCCCACCGCTGCCCAGGCTAGGTGCTGTGTCGAAGCAAACTGTTTGGTGTCCTTGCCCGACCGAAACGGGCGCTCAGAATTGAGACATACTGTGGATGGACGAAATCCTGCACCACTTGGAAACCATACGAAACCATTGTTTGTTGGTATTTACAGGGGAATCACATTCCAGAATTTCTTAGGTGGTGCAGGATTTTGTCCATCCACAGCGCAAAAGGTTCCCTAAACGATTTAAAAGGCAAAGCCAATGCCAAGTGCCGCTGGTGTATTGCACTCGACCTGCAGGTAGCTGTAAGATTTATGGGTTCCATCCCCGTGGCTTCTTCGGTCGGGCCTCTTCTTGAGCAAGCGACGGCTCTTCAAATCTCTGCCTGGCCTTTTGGTGTCACGGGCCTCGGCCAGTCCGGGGGCCGATTTTGGTTTCGTGGCTCTTGGGTGGACGAGCCCCGCTCGGAAACTCGCATCCCAACTTCTTGGCCACGCGTTCCGGTCGATTTCTGAGCAACTGGACGACGTAGTGGATGCCAAGAAGCGGCAAGTGGCCAATGCCCTCTCCAGGCATTCTGAGCCATAAAAGGGTTCCTGCATGCGTACGTGCGAGTGCGTGCCGGGGCGTCTCTCTCTGTTTGTGTGTGTGTGCCTCTTTTTGTCGTGTTGTTGTTTTTGTTGAGTGTATGTGTGATTGTGTGGGTGTATTTGTGCATTTGTGTGTGTAGTTGCTAACAGCGCTGCCAGGCGCCTGGCTGTTGTCTATGTTTTCATGGTTTTCAGGGAAAGAAGCGGAGTTGAGGGGGGGGGGGGGGGATTGGATAGCAAAGTTTGCCTTTGCGCAAGGCCCAGCTTCATTGCAGCATGATGAGTGCGCGCCCAGCGTGCACAAACATGCAACCTTGCGCGGCGCATTCGTTTCCATCTCCCAAGCCCGGCTTTTCCGTCAGCGGGGCTGGCATGCGGTCGTTGACCTAGGGCCCCTAGGGCCCCTAGGGCTTGTTCAACCTGGCGCTGATTTCACTTCTGCGGCTTTGCCGCGTGCCATGTGCATGGCCTTGCCTTCAAGGCTGGCTGTCCTGTGCCTGCCATCATCCTGGTGATTGCTGGGCTACGCTTTGTTTGGACATCGTTTTGCAGCAGGATCGTTTTGGGGCTTTGGAGGAAGAGCATGAGGAAGAGCATGCCGCTTTGGTGAGCGCATGGCATCAGTTTGTAGAGACACCCCCTTGGATCATCGCAACCTTGGCTGTTTTCTCTCAGCGCCTGAGGCTGCGCTCTTAGGCTGACCATGAGCAAGCCTCTCAGCAAACATGCGCGCCAACGATGCCCCAGCATGCTGCTCCGCAAGATCTTTGCCTTGCAACGCCGCCGCGCCACACATCATCCGCTTCTTGCGACACCCCGGTGGCGCGATACGTGTCTCTGCTGCAAAAATCAGGGCCGCCCAGTCCAATGTGCATTCATGGTTCTCCCCCCACAAAGAAGTACAAGAGCTGGCACTGGAAGCAAAAGAGCTCTACCAGCGCAGCACAGCTGGACTGAATAATGTGTGCCTTTGGTTTCTTTCTCCATTTACACCACGTTTCAAACTGGGGGGAACCCTGTCTGATTTCGCTAACAGGACGAACCCATGGACATCCTGAGCTCTGAAGATGATGGCCCCGCCCCTGCGTTCAAGTGAGCCATCAGATGCGCAGCGCTGCAAAGACATAGATGGTCGAAAGCTTGGGCGCCTCCCTGGAAAGGGTGGTGCTCAATGTCTCAACGCTGACTGGAAGTCGTTGAACACTTTTCTCCCAAGCCAGCTGAAACGAAAGTCTCGCCATGGAGCGTATGGCAAGATGAACCCACGCTTGCGTCAAAGGTGCTACCAGTGGGTGTTCCGGAGGTTCATGAAGAGACCGAAAGCCGCATGAGCTTTTGCAGAAACTAGCCAAAGCTTTTGCCAACTAAGAGCCTTGAAATGTGCTGAAAAAGTAGTTTCTGCTGAAGCCTCTTTTGCCGGGCTAGCATCACGAAATGACAGGGGGGTTTCTGTCAATCCCAGCAAAACGCACCAGGCGCCCAGTGGCGATGTTCCCGCGCGTGTGTGTGTGTGTGTGTGTCTCTGTTTGTGTGTGTGCTTGTGTGTGTGTGGTTTTGCGTTTGTGTGTTTGTGTGTTTGGGTGTTTGTGTGTGTGTGTGTGTTTGTCTGTGTGTTCGTGTTTGTGTGGGCGGGTGCTTGCATTTGTGTTTGCGTTTGCGGTTGCATTTGTATTTGTGTGTTTGTGTTTGTGTGTGTGTGTTGCTGTCTGGTTGTGGTTGTGTTTGTGTGTCTGCTAATTTGTGTATTTGTGTGTTTGTGTGTTTGTTGGTTTTTGTTTTTTTTTTTTTGTTTGTTTGCTTGTTTGGTTTGTTGGTTTGTTTGTTTGTTTGATTGTTTTGTTGTTTGTTTGTTTGTTTGTTTGTTTGTTTGTTTGTTTGTTTGTTTGTTTGTTTGTTTGTTTGTGTGTGTTTTCTTGCTTGCCTGCCTGCCTGCCTGCCTGCTTGCTTGCTTGCTTGCTGGCTTGCTTGCTTGAGTTTGCTTGCTTGAGTTTGCTTGCTTGCTTGCTTGCTGGCTTGCTTGCTTGCTTGCTTGCTTGCTTGCTTGCTTGCTTGCTTGCTTGCTTGCTTGCTTGCTTGCTTGCTTGCTTGCTTGCTTGCTTGCTTGCTTGCTTGCTTGCTTGCTTGAGTTTGCTTGCTTGAGTTTGCTTGCTTGAGTTTGCTTGCTTGAGTTTGCTTGCTTGAGTTTGCTTGCTTGAGTTTGCTTGCTTGAGTTTGCTTGCTTGCTTGCTTGCTTGCTTGCTTGCTTGCTTGCTTGCTTGCTTGCTTGCTTGCTTGCTTGCTTGCTTGCTTGCTTGCTTGCTTGCTTGCTTGCTTGCTTGAGTTTGCTTGCTTGCTTGCTTGCTTGCTTGAGTTTGCTTGCTTGAGTTTGCTTGCTTGAGCTTGCTTGCTTGCTTGCTTGCTTGCTTGCTTGCTTGCTTGCTTGCTTGCTTGCTTGCTTGCTTGTGCTTGCTTGCTTGAGTTTGCTTGCTTGAGTTTGCTTGCTTGAGTTTGCTTGCTTGAGTTTGCTTGCTTGAGTTTGCTTGCTTGAGTTTGCTTGCTTGCCTACTTGCTTGCTTGCTTGTTTTCTTGCTTGCTTGCTTGCTTGCTTGCTTGCTTGCTTGCTTGCTTGCTTGCTTGCTTGTTTTCTTGTTTTCTTGTTTGTTTGTTTGTTTGTTTGTTTGTTTGTTTTTGTGCATGTGTATCTGGGTGTGTTTGTGTGTTTTTGGTGCGCTCGCGTGCGTGCATGCATGCGTGAGTGCGTGCTTGCGTGCCTGTGTGTGTGTGGGTGTGCGCGCGTGTCTGTGCGTGTGCGCTTGCGATTATTCACAAGACGACCCTTACCATTCATAGGTCTCCTGGCGAAATCTTCGAGCACGTCCGGGACAACCTTGCGGTGCGATCACCGTGCTCCGGAGGAATTGAGAGCAGAGAGCCTGCCTTCACGCAATGGATTTTTCGGCTTTCACTCACTCCCTGTGGGACGTTTTGGTGGCAAACGGTTTTGGCCAGTTCACTCAGAAAGTCATCGTGCCGCACGAATCGTGCCCACATTTGAGGCCTGACCCCCGTGAGTGAGTTTGCTGCTGATGGAGTCCTGATGCTGTGAAGCATCGGCGCTTTCCGGGCTCGATGTGCCCCCGCGGAACCAAAGAACCAAAGAGACGGGCGCCCTGAAATTTGGGGAGACGATTCTGCAGACCATGTGAAACGTGATCCCCGATTTGAGGAGACACCCAATTTGCACTTCGGCCATATGCCCGTATAGCCTGCAAGTCCTCCTTTGCAGGCTGTTTGATATTGCTTGGAAGTCTGAGTGTCTGTGTGCATTTGATTGCCCATCATGTACAGAGGAGGCATCTGGAAAAAGGCGTAAGTTGCACTCGCAAGTTCATGGCGAATGTTCACCCCGGCTTGAATGGAAGCCCCATAGGGAGGACATCGCTCTCCTCAAAATCTACCAGGCCCCTCGGGCGTGCAGCAAGAACATCAAGAAAGGGCAAAACGGATTCGCAGGAGCTGTTCCTGACAGGGATGTAGCTGCAATTCAACCTGCTTTTTGTGGGACAGATGTGGCCTTTTCCCTGTTTTGAAGGCATGAATCTAGATGTTGACTTGGTTGGCTTCATCGTATGGTACCCTTTCAAGAGAGTATCCTTCTAGCCGGGAGAGCCATGGTTCCGTTGAAGCCCCAGGAAGTCCCTTTTTGGCTCTTGTGGTTTCGGGTTAGCCCAGCAAAGCGGGTTTCCTGATTTTCCATCCCAATCTGGAGCGTCACCGCAAGTGCCAAGGTTTCTTGAGATTGTCCATGCCCTGGAGTGTCAGCCGAGCGTTTTTGTTTGGTTGGTTCAGGCAACACGCACGGCGGCGCAATGCGCAGAATTGCAGGCTCACCTGGAGGCACGGGATATGCACTGTCGATGTTTTGAGTTGGCACCCCTCTTTGGAGCGCCTAAACCCTCAGACTAGCCTTAAAAAGGGAATTCACCCCATAACTTTGGTGCTATAGCCCATTTTTGCGTGTATTTCGAGGGTCCAGGTGGTTTTAAAGGGAGACCCAAAGGAAGGAAGCTAGAAATAAGAATGGCAGAATGCAAGAGACACCTGTATGTGTGTTTGGCCCAATGATTCCATTGCCCTAGCAAAGGGAAAACGGCGGGGTACCTACTATAGAGGTGACTGGGATCCACGGGGGGGCTGATTGAAAGGGAAACCACAAAGAAACCCACCGTTTTCGGGGACCCTGTTTTAGTTAGACCTGGCCTTTCCCGTCCGCATTTTGCCATCCAGTCATAGGGTCCCCCCTACACTTTTTGGCACAATTCAAATACACCCACTAAAACAACCTATTTTCAACATTCAAATCCAATCACCCAACCAATCCAACTCCAAAAACACATATTCACTTACCCATCTTCATTTCTTACCCCATCTCAACATCACCCCTATGCTCATTCAATAACAACAATCAGAACTACATACCACCTCAACAAATTCCACCAAGAAAATCCAAGCTACATACCAACATTTTTCCCCAACAGCTGAAAGCTTTGGGGTCTCAGCCCAGATAGGCTCCGGGGTGGTCCGGGGCGGCCCTGAAATAAAGTTCCACGAGGGTTCCACCAGGGTTCCACCAGGGGTCCGGGGTGGTTTGAGGTCCACGAGGGTTTGCGCCATCGCGCCCCGATCGGGGCCCGACTCAGTCGGGCCCCGTCAACTGTACCAAGCTGGCATCGCCTAGTTTTGCTAGATACAGTTGTAAGGCCGCATCCTAAGGAAACCGGCGTTGAGCTATAATATGGGTGGCTGGGGTTGCACTAGACCATCGGGCCCCGATCGGGCCCCGCTTGCCCCCGTCGGGCCCCGATCGGGCCCCGATTGCACCGTCGGGCCCCGGTCAGGGCGCGATTGCGCTGTCACACTTAGGTTTGCTTTCTAAAGTCACAACACCGGCGGTGAGGTGGGTCCCGGGGGCGTTCCGCAAGGTGTTGGGGGATATCGCCTGAGCTCGTTTCATTCCCAAGATCGCAACCCCAAGATCTCAATAATTTCTCCCTTGATCCAACTTGACACCCTTTCCCATTTCCAACAAATACGAACAGTCTAAAAAATTTCCCATTTCCAACAAATACGAACAGTCTAAAAAAACAACCCTATGTTCGCCCCAAAAAGTGGTTAACCAATGGAAAAAGGAATATTCTAAGGGCTAACTCAATTCTTGAAAATAATCTGTGTGACATTGGATGGCAATATGCGGATGGGAAAGGCCTAGGTAGGAAAGCACCCCCACGGCTTATACGGGAAAATTATACTAAAATAACAACATATACGATCTTATATGTTGTAACTAGCATAATCAAGAACTGAAACATGCATCTCAATAATAGCTAGCTGCGCTTTCATTATCGCTAAATTGTTCATCCTCGTCATAGAAGTCTTCCGTGCTTGATATATGATAAAATCGGATATGCCATTCTGCCTCTGTTCTGAATGGCATCATTACCAACAGTGCTCTCATTGCGTCGTAATAACCCATTCTCAAGTGTTCTCTTTTGTCATCAATACTATCAATGAACCAGAGCTGTTTAAATGTATTTTCAATATCATATATGTAGGCATAATTATAGAACGCTTTCAATTCTAAATGTATTTCACAATCAGATTTGGTATCATCCAATGCTTCAGTTAAAGTCATTGCCCAGAATGGGTTTGTTTGTACTCTTTCCCAAGTTGGAAAATGGTTTTTAAGAATATCATTATACCTGTAAGGACATATATCATAACAGTTATATGACATAATATTCAATCTAATTTCCAATGGTAGATTATTAATGTCGCACATACTTTACTTCATATATTAAGGTAATATTTCTTTAAGCACTTTTTCAGGGAAACTTTTAAATCAAGCGAATTATAATTACAACATATAAGATCTTACATGTTGTAAGTATAGTAAAACTATGGTATCAAAGGCTTTAATCTATGTATTTCCATGGGTTGTATTCGTTTCTTCTGTTCCTTCCTTAACTCTTTTGTTGCTTTTTCATTGTCTCTGCATTCCTTACATGTTTTGTAAAATATCTTCCATTCTAATTCTATCATACATTTTGTGAAAATCCTTTCTTGGCTTTGCTTCGTTGCATTTACTGCAATGATAAACCATTGTGTATCCTGTTTCTTCTTCGTCATCTGTAGAACTGTAGAACTCATAATATTAGTTATGCTAATATGTCTTTAAACGGATTTTCAGAGAAAGATGTTTTAAATCAAGAATAAACACCTGTCTCTTCAGCATAGTCAACTCGGTAATATTCCAGACTGCTGGGCTTCCCACTTTTTCCTTCTTGGGGCATATGTCCAAGAAAACAAGTCTCCCAAAGAAAATACCTCGACTGATATCATACCCTAGACAAAGCGGGTATTGAGAGTTGAGAGTGGGGGGCTGTACCTTATTGGAACACTGTTCGCACGCGCAAGTACAGGATTCTTGTTTGAGGTACCCCCCTTCCCGAAAACGCGTGGCAAAAGGACCACGCCGTCTTGACATGGCCTTGAGGACGCGCACAGGACACGAAATTGGCGGCCATGTTTGCCATCGATTCCCTGACACATGTGGCGGTGGGCAAGTTAATCTATGTGATGTGTGTTTGTGTGTTTGTGTGTCGTGTTGCATTTTCTGGTTCAAAGAGATGCACATGGCAACCGCCATAGCCAGCGGCCTTGAAATCTGAGGTGTTCAATTCAGAACTCAAAGTTTCAACTCTTAAGACTTACGTTGTCAACCACCCCATCCAGTCACGAGTCCACCTTGGTCCAAACAAAAAACACACCAGACCTGAGGGCAACTCACAAGCCCATGCAACCGGTTCAGATGCCAATGAATCCGCCTCTTGTTCTGTTTGGTCTACCTTAGCCCAATTTCGGCTTTGCTCAACTTGTGTTTCACCTGTTTCTTCTGTCTAACCGATTTGGGCTTTGTGCAACTTGTGTTTCACCCCAGCAAGGTTTGAGAACAGCTTTCGCACCCGCCCAAGGGGCCAATCTCCGCTTTAAAAGTCCGGACCATGCCATGGACCACCACTTCGCCTCCTCATGGCTGAAGTCGCTCTCCAACAAACTCGAGTCCTTGGCCGAGTGGTCCTGGGTGGGCGAAAGCGCCTCGGCCGGGTGCTGTTGAGTCCCAGGAACCTCGGGTTGTAGCCCTCCATAAACACGAAATACATAAGGGCGCTATACTGGCAGGTTTTCCCGCAATTGTTCGTGAAGACATCATACTTTGCATGCATCCTTCCTTGCCACAAAGGCACTCTGAAGCCGGGCTTCCCTCACGGGCCATTTTGCGTGTGTCCTCCTGTTTGTGGGCGCAACGTCTGGCCCTGTCGGTTTCAATGGACACCAAGAGGAAAGCAGGCAGCTTTGAGCTCCCCTGAAAAAAGACGAGCCACCCACATGTTTACAGTAGCTTTGGTTGCACCAGCTGACGCTGCAGCCAAACGAATCCGACGATCACACACACAAAGTAGCCTGTGCCAAGGAACCTGAACAACACTTGGAGAAGCCATATGGCATGCTGCTTAGATTAGTTGGTTGGCTGAAATGGGGAGTCGTTTTTTCTTTTTTCTCGGAACCTCCCCTCCTCTTTTGGGCCTTAGTTGAGTCACCGGCGAAATGGCTGGCCCGTTTTCTGTGAGCCAAAGAACGCACCTCGGCATCTGGACGAAATCCATCTTGCTTCGCAGCGGTCAGTTGTCTTATCGACCAGTAGTTTGTTTGACGTCCTATCAACCCGTAGGTTTGCTTCTTTGTGTTCCCATGTTATATCCTATGTTCAGGTCACCCTTGATGGTTTGGTTTGGAGACCTGGGGACTTGAACCCATTCTGTGGGATGGGAAGCCCCCCCCCGGTTCACCCCCCGGTTTCCCGGCGCCGAAAGCCGGCGATGTCGGATGGCTGAGGGCAGGGCGCCACTGCTATACATCGGAACCTGTTCAAGGACGTGGGTCCGTGGGCTCAGGTAACCCCAAGGTGGGTTGGATTCTCAGTGGTTCAGTGGCACCCTTGTCCCTTCTTCTGGTGGCTGCCCCAGCAGAAAAATGGGCTCCCACAAAAAGGTTCTTTTGTTTCCAGGGTCACTGAACAACTGAGGATTGGTTGCTTTTGTAGAGGGTCACGGGAAACCCCTCCCTTTCACCAACAAACCACCGGGCTCCGAAACACCAATAAGAGGAAAGCTGATGGGTGTGGTTCCTTTTCTGAGGGTACCCGGTTGGAGGTTGTTTCAAAAGGAACCCGAAGGCGAAACAGAAAAGGTCCCTCAAAAGAAGACAAGCCCATGTGGGCATCGGCGGTCTTGGCGCCCGAAAAGACGAGTGGTGAGAAGTTTTGTGTAGCTAGGATGAGACTCAGCCAGCCGCCAGGGGTGTGCGTCCGGTCAGGAGTTCTTCTCGGCTCCGTTTCAGAAGACCCTTGCTCTGGTCGATGAGCAGAAGAAGGCGTGGCTCTGGCAACAAGGTGGGCAATCCAAGCCAGGCTAGATTGAGTAAGGGACCATAGGTGTCCTTTTGGGTTGTTTTGGTGGGAAAATAGATGGCCCTAGTTTGCCTGGTGGTTTAATCATCTACGAGGGCCACGTATTTGCCCTAAAAGGACACCTATGTAGGGACAGCACCCAAAAATAGGCTATGATCTCCGCCTTTCAAATTCATATAATCGTTGGGTACACTCTTTTAGTGCCAGGCTTTGAGTTTTAGACGACAGGTGGTGGAAGCCCTCCGTAGAGACCGCCAAACAATTCGGGGTCGCCCTGCTCCGTAAGACCCCTCTACCGATCTGTTCGGTGAGTTGCAGAGCCTCCCATGCTCTCTCGGGTTCAAGTATGTTTTGTTTAAACAACAACCTGGATACTGGTGTCTTTCCTCTGCGAGCAATTTGTTGTGTGGCCCTGCAAGGGATGTCATTTCGACATCCTGATTGCCGTGTCAATCACACGAACGAACAGTGGCAATTCGCATCCATGTGCGCGGCTTCCCCCGCGGTGGCGAAGTCTCTTCAGAGAGTCCCAGTGACAACAGTTCCTGGCATCGTTGGAAACAAACAGTCAAAGCTCAGACGCAAATACCACTGAACCTAGCAGCAGAAGCGATCATTCCGGCGAACATGGAAGAAAAGCTACAGGCAAGAACAACTCCCAACTGAGAAGCCAACTAGGCAGAATGAAACAGCTGATGCACAGTTCCAATCCACCGCGACCCGAGGGATGGTTTCCCCAAAACACGGCCAAGCAGAAAAGCGCATGGTTTCCCACGTGCGAAGACTGCTGCCCGCAGGGCAATGAGTAGCGCCCTTCCGTGACTGACGCTGTTTCAAGGGAAAACAATAGGAAGCCGACTTCTTTGTTTCCTCCTGACGGCCAAAAGAAAACCTGCCAATGTTTGAGGAGGATCGGACCTCCTTAGAACGCACATTTGTGGGCTTGTATCCGTCAGAGTTCGAGCGAGCCCCTCAAAATGGGTGTTCAACTTGTGGTTTGTCTTCGTGTTTCTGTTTCCCTTACCAACTCAGGTGTTCAGCTGTTTCCCTTCTTTTTTGGTGGCTGCCCCAGCAAAAATGGTCCAAGCCCCAACAAGGCTTCCATTTTTTTCCAGGGTCACTGAACAACTGAGCCAACTTTTTCCAGTTCGGGGGCGGCCAAACGTGCCCCAGAAAGGGTACCGGATCAAAAAATCAGGAGGACTTCCTCCGAGTCATCGAGCGGAATCTCCACAAGTTCGACCCAAAGACCCAGCAGTTTCCCTTGGGCTGCACCACGGCTAGAAAAAATATTCCCACGGGCGAAGTGTGCGTCCCCAAAATTCCCACGACCTCCTCCGTTTTTTGGGCGTCTTCCCTTTTTGGGGTCGCTTAGGGAAAAGGAAGCCCATTTCCGGGGTCTTCGAGACCTCCCCCTTTTGGCGGCTTAACATCTTTGGCCATTTCAAGTGCGTTGCCCTTTTGGGGTGATGCAAAGGAGGAAATAGAAGGAACCGTATTCCCTGTTGAGCGGATTCGACGCTCTAAACCCCTTCTTGCTTGGTGGGTTCGTTGCTGAAATCAAGCCACCGGAGTCTCATGCCATATTTGGGAGCAACTCATCTATCCAAGACTCTTTTTGATTAAGCAATTATACAGTTTCGATATGCACTAAACATGTGGGATCAAAAAGGCATAGAAGCGAATTATACAATACAGTTGGGTTTACACATGCGGAGCAGAACATTTGGGACCAAGATGGAGGATGGGACAAATATTTGCCAGCAAAAAGCCAGGGATGAGCAAATGAAGAGCCGATTCCCATTTTGTCATTTTCGCCACGAGCAATTGGGCAAGACGTAGATTCAATCCACAAGTGCGATATTGCTTCCACTTCATCAATCGTCGACCCAAGTGGCTCCACTTAGTCGATCCGCGTGTTCGCGCGCTTGGTGTATGCTAAGAGCCAGGGTTTCCGGGCCCAGAGACTTGGGAAGGGTCCCTCAAGACCCGGTCACAAGGTTACAAGTCTTAAGCTATCCATGGGTGTGGCTCAAAATGAAACCGGGGGGGGCAAACCGCAGGGGTTGGTCCATGTTGCCACTTACCGATCGGGTTCCATTTTGGAATTCCGGTTTTTTGAGCCGCAGCCATATGATAATCTAAAGAATTGTGCTTTTCTGGCCCAGATTTAGGCCGAGATGTCGACATTGCCGGGGTACCATTTCGCGAACCTCGCCGGTTGCAGCCGGAGCTTAGGCCTCTGTGCGCTCTTGCAGCATGGCAAAGATTCGCCCACCACTCAGGACCCACACGTCGGCATGGCGTTGCGTGACGCGCTACGTGCGCGTGCGCAGATGTTGGGCTGGCAATGGTGTCTAGGTCCCCTTGTAGTGCCCTTTTGCCCTTTTTTGGGGGAGGGTGTCCCTACTAAAATAGACTACGGGAAACAAGGGTACCCTTATTTTAGCCTCTCTGGAGAACGTAGGTGTTGCAGGAGCAAAACCTTGCCTGAAAGTCGGGCCCCACTGCCGATCTGGCTTCTAGGTTAGGATCTGCCCTCACGGCAAACCCTTGGAGCTCAGGTGAATGACCCTTATGAACCATCCCATGTGGTTTCCTAGGGGACCATTGTGCCTGGGTTCATTCCCACCTTCACCTTCCCCACCTGCGCCACGAACCTTCACAGGGAACATCGAGCTCAAAGGGGGTTCCCAGATGGGTCAACATCAAACCACCAGGAGATGGACCGCAGGTTTTGGTCTTTGTTTCCACCCAGGGCCTTCCGACAGGACAAGGTCGTGGCCTGGGTGGATTTCATCCTGGACCGGCTGCTGCGAAACCCGCCTGCCTCCCCGGCGGTCGCGGCCGAAGTGGCCGAGGCCGGAAAGAGAGGGCGGGAAAAAACGCCAGACGCCGGCCACAAGGTTGAAAAACTTCTCATCAGGCGCTGGGAAAAAAACAAAAAAAAAACATGGGGGCCAGTGAGTTATTCCCCAAATCTCACAGCAACTCATGTTCGGGTAGGGTCTGGTATGTGGCTGGCAGCACTTTGGTGCTGCTTCGGGCCTTCCCCCCTTGAAGCCCCAACTTGAAGGCTTTGACGATCGAAGACCTTCGACCTTCAATGAAGGGGCCTTGAAAGGCCCCCCTTCAAGCCCCCCTTGAAGCGCGCTTTACCGAAGGGTACCTTCAATTTCCAGACATGCTCTGCTATGTTCTTCTTCCACTTTACAGTGTGTCCTTGCTTGTGTGTATGCAGCAGTTGTTCCGTTCTAACTGTTTTGCTCTTTGTGCAGTTGGTTTCTTTGTTCCGCTTCGCACCCACTTGACTTCCGCACACAGGGTCGAGATGTAGGGCTCCCTTTGTCTTGGCATCATAAGGAGCCCTGAAGTAGTGGCTAAACTTGGTTGCAACCCGCCCGGGAGAAGACCTCCCATGGGGTGACCTATGTCTATTGCCCCTTTGAGAGAGATACCCCCATCTTCTCAGAAAGAATCAAAAGGAACTTCAAAAGGGCTCGAAAAGCTGAAGGCCCTTTGGAGTTGAAGGTTACCACCCTATTGCTCGTAAGACAAACCCAATCCTTCAGGTTCCCAGTTAAAGGTGCTTGGGTGTTCAGCCCACTTGAGAAGTTATATCAAGTTATCTTCGTGGCTAACCCCAGTCGCCCCACTTATTTCCGTGGTGAAACCCTACTACTCTACTAAGTTGGTTGAACATCCAAGAAGGTAGGTACACACCCATCCTCCCCGCATTTCCACTTTTTATGGATTTAAACAATGGTTGAGAGGGACATGTATGGCTATGACATTTAGTGCGACAACCCTCCCAAGAAGTGGGTGGACATGAAGGAGATGATCCGCTTGAAACTCACATGGCTTGTTTTCCGGTGGTGTGCATCGATTTTACATGAACCGGATGAAACTCACCTCAAAGTTGGTTTGAAGCCAACACGCTTTTGTTGTTTGTTTTGTTCTTCCCTTTTTTCCGGTGGTTTTCCATTTTAAAGCTGGTGTTTTCCTGGTGGATTCCCAAATTTCACACCTCCTGGTTGGTTTGAAGCCGACATGTGTGTGTGTGTGTGTGTGTTTAAAAAAAGGAAACAAAAAAAGATCTGGCGGTTTCGATCTGAAGTCACCCCAAAAAGCCGGCCCCCCCCCCAAAAAAAAAGGCCGCGCCCTGCCACCCCGCCGCGCCCGCGCTCTGAGGAGTGCCTCTCGGTGCCCTTCCAGCGCCTGGTGCCCTTGATGCGGGACACCCTGCGAGAGAGCCTGGCGGACGGGCTCGGGGAGCACGCCTTGCCCCAGCTGGACGAGGCGAAAGCTTTTCGCATGGCGCGTTTGGCGAATCTCTGTGTTTTGGTGGGAGAGAACAACGGGGCCCTTTTTAAGGTTTTGCGGAAAAACATCGCTTTTTGAGGTTGGGCTTAAAGGGAGCCCAACACAGCAGGGGTCAAAATCACTTGGTGGAAAAAAAAGGTGCCCTTTTGCAAGGGTGTTGGCCTTCCAGGGAGTGGAAGGCCCAAGAGGAAAGCAAACTTCTTTGGGGTGGGGGTCTTATTGAGGAGCCTTGTTGAGGTTGGGCTTGGGAGCCCAAAAGGAAAGCAACCTATTTTTTGGGAGAGTCCCCATTGAAACCTTAAGGTTGGCTTGGAACTGTAGAGTCTTGTGGACCTGGTGCCCTTTTCAAGGTTGGGCTTTCCAGGCAGCCCAAGAGGAAAAGAAACAGCTGCTTTGGGGGGTGGGGGGTGTCATTGAAACACACACCCACATGCTGGGTGTGTTTTTGGAGATTGTACCTTTAAGGTTTGTTGGGCTTAAAGGGAGCAGGGTTCGAAACCACTTTGCATTGGGATTGAAGGGGGGGGTGGTCATAAGGGACTGCTTAAGGCAAACATGTGGCGGCGCAAGGACGCGTAACAAAGTCCAGGGCGAAAAGAGTGGACCAAACCTTTAGATCATAGGTATCAAACAGGAGCCCAGGCAGGCTCCTTTTGGTTCTGAAAATACAAACCTTAAAGGTACAATCTCCAAGAATCACACCCAGCATGCGGGTGTGTTTCAATAACACCCCCCCCCCCCCGAAAAAGAAAAAGAAGGAAGAACAACACAATGTTTGTTTTCCTTTTGGGCTCCCTTTAAGTCCAACCTGAAAAAGGGCAGGAAGTGTGCCCGTGTAAGCGTGTAACTGTGTTTGTGTGTGTGTGTGGGTGTGTGTTTGTGTTTGTGTGTGTGTGTGTGTGTGTAACTGTGTCTGTGTTTGTGTGTGTGTGTGCATCTGTGTGTGTGTGTGAGTGTTTGTTCTTGCAGACTTCCGACCTCTGTAATACCAAGGGATGCTTCGCCTTTCAGTCTTTTCACCCATCCTCAAAGAACACGATCAGATGTGAGCCTGTTCTTAAATACCAACAAGGCAGCTATCACAAAGTTGCAAAAAGACCGGATGAGCGAAAAGAACCCATACGAACAGCTACCAACAACTCAGCTGCGCTCAACCCGCGACGTGAGCCGCACTTAGGATCCGCTTCTGGGAACATCTCCATGGACCACATGAGTTGGCCCTACCTGGAGCCTACCTTTTTGGGTTGGGCTGATGGTTTTGCCATTTCTCCGTGGCTGGATTGCATTTCACCGCAGCTTCGGATCAGAGATACCTTAGCTTTTGTCTTCCCCCCTTGCTTTTGGCCTTGTAGCTCTCCTTGCTTGGGTCATCGCTTTCAATTTGGCTCCAAGCTTTTGGAGGAACTTATGGGTTTTGAGGGTAGGGAGAGTCTGTTTGGCATGTTCGCTTTCAATTTGGCTCCAAGCATTCAGAACCCATCCGTTTTGAGGGCCTCGGGCCGTGCCAGGCCACCCAGAAGCGGCTGCTGGACGGCTTGGGCGACCCCTCCTCAGGCTCAGATCGGATCGGATCGGAGCGGAGATCAAACCCAGACAATTGGGTTCAAAACCAATGGTACCCTATTGGGGTAGCATTTTAGTCCATTTTAGTGGAAATTGGGATGTTCACAGGAGGTACGGGATTTTGACCCATGGCCAATTCAAGTACCAAAGGTAGACCTGTTTTTCCCCGCCAAAAGCCATCCTCATGAGAAGACCAAGGGAATTTCTTGGGAAGATGAGCCAATCTAGTTTGTTTTGCTCCTGAGTTATGTACGTAAAGGTAGGGATGTTATTCTTAAATGCGCGCCGCCGCGGGAGTCAGGCATCGAATGAGTTGCTTCATTTCACGGATCAGCTTAGGTGGGTGTCACCGATTCACCCTTGTCCCATCTCCCGGTCGCGATTCTCCATATCTCACTTCTGGGCGACTAGGACATTAAAATCTCACTCACGGCCAATCGATATGGCAATTGTTGGTCGAATCCAGATCCAAGAAGACGATTTGGCGATTCAGAGGTGACATGGCCAATTGTTGGTCGAATCTAGATCCAAGAAGGGCACTGATCCAGAAAGGAAATTTCCCTCGATTCGTGCCACGCGATATGAGCGATTTGCTCCCAGATCAAAGTCCTTTGCTACCGGAGCGGATCGAAGCCTTGGTGGTGAAGTGCACTGAGGACCGGCGCGGAGCGCGGAATTAGCCAGAAACCGACCTAGGGGCTTTGGAGCAAGGCGAAACCATGGGTGGCGCTAGCTTTTTGTTCAGGGAGCTTTGTTTGTGGTTTTGAAGGGGAACCAAAAGGACAACTTCCCCGAAAGAGAAAAGAAAGAAGCAAAAATAACAAAAAACTCCCACATGTTTTTTTGAGTTTGTATGCTTAGTGGGATGTGTTCAAAGGGCCCGGGGAAGGCCATGGGGTCTCCCAGATCTCAAAAGGAGGCGTTCGAAGCTGGGGTTCCGGTGGTTGGGGACGAAGTCAACACGCACCAATTCGATTTGCGGCTTTCCGGCCTTCCGATCGCATGACACTGACCAAACCAGCCTAAACCTGCAGGGGCTGGCCTCTACCCCATTAGGCCTGAAAAAAGCGCTCCAACGTCGACCCCCAAGAAGGGGTTGGATTTCCTTCGGGGCTTAAAAAGCGTGACCAAGAGAAAACAAAAAAAGGGGGGAAAAAAAACACCCGGCCCGAAAAAGCCACCAAGTCTCCCAGCTGTTCAGCACCCCCACGCAAGAAGCTTCTTGTTTGGGTTCGGGACCTGGAATTCGGCAACGGCCCAAGAGTTCTGCTCAAGTCTGGACCCCGGAACCGGGTCACACGGAACCGGAGCCTGCGAGTTCCTGAACTGACCTGGTGTGGGGTTGGGGTTGGGGGTGGGGGTGGGGGTGTCCAAGCAAAAATGTGTGGCGCAGGATCGGAACCTCTCTTGACTTGGCACTGCCATTGAATCAAGATTCGGGATTCTAGACCATCTGGTCATCTTCCAAGGTCACACCGGGCACTCAGCATGGCTGATCTTTGTGACCAAGTCCTCCAAGAGGGTTCAAGATTCCAGATTCTAAACATCTTTTCCAAGTCTGGACCCTCCCCACGAATCCGGACCTCTCTCTACTGCTTTTGGGTCTTTAGACTTTAGCTTTTCGATTCCCCTCATATTTCAACTGTTAACCAGCAAAAAGTTGCTCAACTTTTTGCTGGGGGATCTACAGCACCCAGGCTCTGAAATCTGATTTTTTGGGGTTCGGCAAACAAGAAGAAGAGGAAAGCAACGGGGCCAGGCCCTTTGGTCGTCGCGGCCCGCGGAACTCGCGGCGCGCGGCGAAAAGCGCGGCGCCCGCGTAGGAGCTGAACTCCTGGCTCTTCCAGGCCCCACAGTTCCCGGCCACGGCGCTGGCGCTGGCGGACGCCTTGGCGCGCGCGGAGCACCCGCTGCTGCGCTTCTTCACCGCGGTGCGCCAGGCGCAGAAGAAGGAGGCGGCCGCTCGAAAGCCGCCAATGAACTTCCCCAGGTTTTTGGCTCCCCTCTTTGGCTTTTTTTGGGATTTGTTGAGACTAACCAGGCAGAAAAGAGGACTTTTTGCTGGGGCCTAGTAAATGGGAGGCTTAAATGGAATACAGCTAAGAGGCCGTTCAGCCCTTGGGCAAACAAAGGTCCCAGACCCCATTCGCCTTCGACGAAAGTCGTTTTCGCACGCGATGCGGGCGGCGGGATGTTTTTGAGGACTTGGTGCCGGTTTTTTGGGGATAGGTCAAAAATGGAAACCCAAGAGGACCACCAGAATTGCGGATTTCCCTTGATGGAAGAAGGCTTCGGCGCGATTCGTGTTCAGCCACCTGGTTTTGAGATCCATTGAAAGCCCCAAAAGCCTCTGGGTGAGGAAAATGGTGCCCCGTTTTGGGGATAAAAGCGGAAATGAAGGGAAATCAACACACATGGGGCGGTTTTTGTTGAGGACTTGACTTAGTGCCCGTTTTTGGGATAGGTGAAAAGCGACACCCTAGAGGACAACCAGAATTGGGGGGGTTCCCTTGATGGAGGCCCCATTTTGGTGGACAAAAGTATTGGTGTGACTCTTTTTTGGGGAGTTGGTACCCGAAGAAAGGATGCCTTAAAGGGAAACCAACCATATTTAAGGGTTCCTTATTGTCTCAAGGCCCGTTTCCTGGTGGTTTCCTGGTGGGTGTCCTACTAACTACCAACCCAATTCCTTGAGAAACTCCCTTTGGCCGTGTTGCTGCTCCCTTGCGACACGGGGCAAGTTGGAGGGACTCGGGGTGGGGATTTCAATTGAAGCCACATGCTTGGGTGTTCAAACCACTTAGCAAGGTCAAAACCATGGCTGTAAAGGGACTGACCCTCCCCACTCATAATCATGGTAACCTAAGTTGGTTTTCACATTCAAGTTCTATATTTTGCCATGTCAAAGTGGTGTTCTTCATGGATTCCAACAAATCAGCCAGCTTGGACGCGGTTCCACACTGCAGCTTCTTGTCAGTGGTGCAGTCCGTGTTCCTTTCAAATAGCCAAGCCGCTGAGTTCCGCTCCGGGACTTGGCGTCGCTGCGAATGCTGTTTGTTTTTTTTGAGAGAGGCTTGTGGGTGGTCGCAAAGGGAAGCCAAAAGGAACAGCATTTTGATTTTGGGTGCCTCAAGAAGACACCCAATGCAGTACTCTTAGCATTGTGAGAGATGCAAGTGCAGAAAACTTGAATGGTTCACGCTGACCCTGCATTCACTCAAGGGACCAAGGTCGCTCAACATTTGATACCATGGCGGCCTTCCTATTGAGTCCGAGTGTTTGCCAGGAACTGAAGGAAAGTGCTGGCTCAGTTCAACCGAAAAAAAACGCCAAAAAGACAACGGCAGGAAACCTTTTTTTCTCGAGCAAACCCACACGGAGCGCCGTCCAAATCAGATCTATTCGTTGCTGTCGAATTAAACCTTCAAAAGGAACACCAAGCTCGAAGGCCCTTCGCCAATCGCTGCAACCATGGTCTATGTGACCCATAGAGACTCCCTTTGCAAAAGGGTCACCAGGTCAGGATGTTCCCAGAGACTCCCAATTGATTTAGGGCGCTCGTATAGCCAGGTTTTGAGACACCCAAACACCCCCGGTGTCCAATGCAGTCTGGGTCTTCCATAAGCCCCAGCCTCTGGGTTGATGGTTTTCAAGTGAAGCTGAAAAGGGTAACGCTAACCCGGATTAACAAAAACACCTTCTCGATCAATAGGGTGTGCCCCTTGACTCAGACTCGCTTCAAATCGGGGAACACCCCCGATTCACACCGGTTTCTTTCTTGGAGCCATGCCCTTGGGCTATATATGTGTTTTCGGTTTTGAGGGGGAGGTTCCTTTGAGCCCAAGAAAGGCGTTCAACTTGTAGCAGATCAGAAAAGCGGGCCAACCTCCAGTTTCTACGGGATTGGCCAACTCCAAAAACCCGGTTTCTCCGGGCGTGGCCCAAAAAAGAACGAGTTTCCCCGGAATCCACATGCCCAACTCCAAAAAAACCTCGACCTCTCCACCCCCCCCCCAAACCCCCCCGCCGGCTTTGGACACCTGAAGGCCTTTCTGGTGGCGGTGGCCTTGTGCTTGCACCACCTCCGCACCCGGTTCCGCTGGATGTGCCTCACCGAGCCGGTGCTGGAACGCCTCAGCCGCTTGAACTGGCCAGGGTGTGTCTTTTTTGGCGTTGCCCAGGCTAGGTGGTTGGAAAGGCGCCGTTACGGAGCTGGGGGTACCTAAATTTGCCTCTAAAGGGGGAGCCTTTCGGTCGGAGTGTAAGGACATGGTAGCGGGTTTGTTGCTTCGATCGTTTTAGTGTTTAGTCGCTAACTAAAACCCACTAAAAGTTGGATTCATTTCTACCTGAGTGCCTAGCATTTGGTGGTTGGATGTCCGTTTCACCCACTAAAAGTGGAACTTTCAGGGGATTTGAGGATTGCCCAGTTCTGGTTTCAAAGGCACACCACCAAGAAAAACCAACATTTGGAGGAGTCCCTAAAAACACACACACTGGGGTTCAGACCGGAGCTACTTTTTTGGTGAGGGAAGCACCAACGGCTCAAGCCACCAGGAGAGTAAGAAACGGGCGGGCGAGGGGCTCTCAGAAGCTTTCTGGTGGACATGTGCTGTCGCCAAAACGTCCATGTTGGGATCTAAGTATGACACATCAAACAGATTCATGTGTGATATTATTTTTTTGAGTGCCCCACAGATGTGCACCAGGCAGGGTCCTCAGAACCATTATTGCAGGGGCCCGAGTTATTAACCCTCGTGTAGCTTTCTAGATGAGACGACTTTCCATTCTTTGCAAGTTCCATGTTTTTCGTTTCAGGGGAGAGAAATAAACAATCGGCTACCGCTTCCCTGGAAAAGTGCAACAATTGGCAAGAAGGGATCTAATTGTTGCCATGTGCTCCTTGTTCTGGTGATGGTGCAGCGCAGTGGTGCAAATAGGAAGAGCATGCAGATCACGCACCAGGGCCTTCCATAGTGACATGGAAGGCTGATCCTCCCGTCGTTTCGTCAGATTCGTGTTAGACATGGGTAATGTTCCCTTTCAAGCAACCATTCAAGTTGGGTTCTCTTAACAGCAAAAGTTGGGAACAACCACTTGGAATCAGATAGTCAGACACCTTCATTTGTCTTGGTCTAAACTGGGTGACCCTTGGTTGAACCAATTTTACGGATGTATCACGAGGCACGGCTATGACTTTGAAGAGGAATACCCTCCCACCAATTATATAACATTCAACCTGACGTTGGGGGTTGCTTTAAAAGCAAACCGATCCAAACCAGGATTTCCCAGACCTCAGGTTCCATGTGAAAAAGTCTAAATCACAAGCTCCAAGGTGGAACTCGTCACGTGGCATCCCAAGCCTGCCACATGGGTTGATCAACAGTCCTAGCCCCCAAGAAACCATTATTCCATCTCGTGGGGAAGTCATTTTTTCTGGTGGTCTCCCTGATGGTCATCCCTATCACGGACCTTTTGATCAACCCCTATATATATATATATATGGGGGGGGGCCTCAAAATGGGGGACCCCTTTCTGGCTCAGCGTTTAACAAGTAAACCCCAAAACCTCCACCTGGGGTCCGATTCCAATTTGAGAAACACCCATATAAATATAATGCATAGGGGTTGATCAAAAGATGCCTCATGCATGGGATGCCCATGAGGGAAACCAAACAAAAACGACTTCCCCACACAATGGAAAGTCTGTGAGAAGGCAGGGCAAAAGGAAACCACGCCAATCGGGTTTTGAGCCGGAAAATGAGACCCAGGGCCAGTCCTTTTTGAGGCCCTCAAAGATCACGAGCCTTGTACCATGCCAGGAGTTACTCTACCCAGAGACTCCCGATTGATTTAGGGCCCTCAAATAGCCAGGTTTTGAGACCCCCCAACACCCCCGATTGTTCAATGGAGGGTTTGGGTCTTCCATTGGAAGCCCCAGCCTCTGGGTAGTAATGTGAACCCCGGATAAATAAACCCCTGGTTGATTAATAGGGGGGTGTCCCCTTTTAGTGGGGATTCAGACCACTTTTGGAGGGAACACCCCCCTAATAGTGGGACGGGTCAACATGACTTTTGGCGCAGGCCAAGAGCTGCAGCAGCGGCTCTTCTTCGTGCCCAACCAGGGGCCCGTGATGGAGCCACTCGACGAAAGCGCAGTGGAACGAACGAGACGGGGGGAGCGGCGAGACGCTTCACGCAGAGCTCCGTTGAGGGGGCGTTCGCCGCTTTTTGGGTGAAACCGGTGAGACCGTTTTGGTGGCATACCAAACAAGTGGGTTGCTGTTTGTTGGGCCAGGCACTCAGAAAGTGAGTTCTTGAGCCCGTGTCGGGCAACGATGTCGCGAGGAATGTTGAGAGGGACGGAAAGTGGTTTGTAGACGTGAATTTGTAGAGGATGTCGTCCCCAATTAAAGTTCATGCCCATTTGGCTGCGGCTGAAACAAATTCAAGCCACCATGGCACAATTGGAAACCCCGCTACTTCAAGGTCCCTCTGAGACAGGTCGAAGGGCTTGCTTGCTGCCCCAGGAGGCAAAAGAATCAAGAAGGGGGGGACTGGGTACCTTTGGCATCCTTGTCTAGGTCCCCCGGTAGTGCCCTTTTGCGCTTTTTGGAGGAGGGTTCCCTACTTGTTTTTGACACCCCTTCACACTGCACACACTGCCTCTTGCCAGGTGTGATGCAAGTAAGGGTGTGGGTAAAATGCACTTTGGCTTCCTCAACATTTCCAATGCCCTGCAGCCCTGTACAAGCAAGAGCGAGTCCACTCTCAATGGTTGCCAAGGCATGATGAGGTTTAAGACTATCCCCTTTCCAAAGGGCTTCCAACAGTGACCATTCAAAGGGTTTGCAATCGCCCCAGTCAAAAGATCAGCCTTTCTGACCTTTGGCTGCTTTGCAGCCTTGGGCAAGTTGACTGTCAACCAGAGTTTCACCCTTTCAGCCAGAAACTTGTTGAGCTTCCAAGCCCTGCTATCAATCCAATCCACAATACCAGGATGTGTATGTTGAGCAGCATAGTCACCAGCAACAGCTGTGCAAACTGCATCTGCTGCCTCATTTGCTTTCCAGGCCCACAGAAGGTCCTGTTCCTCTGCTTGCAGAAAAGCGGCTTCTTCCTGGTGGGATTTAACTTTGGTAATCTTGACATCTCTGTGTTTGTGTTCCCAAATGTCCCTTCAAAGGTCATGGTTGGCCAAGGCATCCTTCTGCACACATTGTGGATGTTGGGTGTTCCACCAGCCCTTGCAAACATATTTAGCATCAACAGCAACTTTGATCTCATTGGAGGTGGCCTGTAACAAAGCCAAGAAAGCCCTTGCTTCTGCACGAGGCACAGTCTAAAATAGACTACAGAAAAAAGGGTGCCCTTATTCTAACCTCTCCACTGGAGGACCTAGTTGTTGCAGGTATGCTGGATATAGTATGGCTGTGAGTACTGGACAGCCTCAGAAATGTACATGCCACGATTGAGACAAGTTCTGAGGCATCCCCCAAGTGCTTTCCCAGTTTCATTTTACAGGGCTAAGTTGATCCTAGCTGCTTTCACACATTCTCCATATGCGCAGCTAGACCCGGTGTCGAAGCCGAATGAAGACGCTAGTAGGGTGTGTTGCGTCTTGGCTCGGTCAGACGCCCGCGACCGGGGAAGGGGCCACGACGAGTCAGCGTGTCACACCTATTGGCTCTTCGCGTATTGCCAACCGCAACTCGGTCCATCTTTTGGGTCTGTTTGGTTGACACTGGGCGGATTTGCCCGGTTTCATTTAAGCTCTAGTCATTTCCCAGCCTTCAACCACTTGTTTCACGTCCAAAAACAAAAAGGACGACCAGCTGTTTTCCTTTGGCAGTGGCATGGTTTGCCTTTTCCACTGTTTCTGGGAGAAATAACCAGCCCCCCTGGTAGTGAGTGGAAACCCGTTTCAAGGGAGGCGCTGTTCATTTCAGTGGACCTCCCAAGCCTCAGGGTTTGGCTCTCCTCGCGGCTGAAAAAGTACAACGGGGACGCAGGCGCTCGCATCCAGGCGGGACTGGTCTAACCTGCGCTGTTCAAAGGTAATCCAGGAGATCCATAGTGCCATAGGGGTTATGCAAGGATTTGGTCCTGCTTGTAGTTGCTTCACCATTGGGAATTTGGATTAGGATTGGCCAGCCCTCCATGATTGAACAGCCCAGCTAACGAACCTTTTCAGGGGAAAGGAGCAAAGAGAAAAGCAGCAGGGACTTTTGAAGTTGGGAGCAAGGTGGTTTTGTTCTTCAGCGACCTCCGAAGGGGTTTGGTTTTGCGACCCATGAAGGCTCAAAAAAACGTTGATGTCTTGATTGTGACATGTTAAATTTGGGCTACCCTTGGGGTGTCTTAAAGGAAAGCCAACATGAGAACCAGTGCGCCTCCTATCCGACTCCACCCAGACCCGAGACCAGGCCATCTTTGCGCAGCCGGGGGTGCCCAAGTTGGAGCCCCTCAAGGCGCGAAGTCGTTGACGAGAATTAGATACTGATTGGGTCACGAAACGCCAAGTTGCCCTAAGGTCGCCATTGATTTTGGTCGGGTTGTGAGGGGGCAGGGTTCTCCAGGGCTGGGCTGTGTGCATTGGAGGGTCATGACCCTTAGGGTGGAAGTCAAATGTCCCTGATGTTTTTCCCGAGTTCTGGTTTAGTCGCTTAAAGCGATTGAGTCTGGCAGCCCAGTTGTAAATTGCGATTAGAAAGAAACCCCGAAATTGGTTGGTCTTTGGTTCGAGCTGCATTATATAGTTCTTGTATTTTTTGCGCTGAAGTTGCGCTGAAGCCCTCGAAAAGGCAACAGCTAATAGAGACACCCCGGACGTTCAATGAGCGCGCTCGAATTTCCACGGGATGGATCTTCTTGTCCTTCATATTCTGAGTCATTGAGGCTTGCTGCCAAGAGATCGGGGTCAAAATCCACAATCCCAGGCTGGGATGGACGAGACAGGATTTGAAAAAAAAGCCGTGGATATTTACTTTACGTGTTTCAACGTCCAGCCATAGCCTTGGGTTGGCTTGGGCTACCCTTAGGTTGGCATGTACCCATTTGCTGAGCTTCCTTCGGCTGGCGGTCTTTGTTTTTGAGTTTCAGTTGCTTCAGGCCAAGCTCTTGCCCTTCTTCCCTCAGCCAGTCGAAGGAGAAGGCTCGCCGCTGGGAGTTGGATCCCGTGCTGGTCTAGGTCCCCCAGCAATTGGTGCCAACTTTTTGGGGGAGGGTTCCCCTACTAAAATAGACTACAGAAAAAAGTGTACCCTTACTCTAACCTCTCTACTGAAGGACCTAGTGGTGTTGTTGTTTCTTCTTTTTTGCCGGCAACCCAGTTTGAGAAGCCCATCTTGGGGTTCCTTACAGCTCAACAAGTTAGGCCAAGGCAAAAAACCCGCAAAGGGACAAAAAACGACCAAGCCTATGGCATCTCCATGAAAGGGCGTTGCCTAAAAAAACGGCACGGAGCTGCATCTTGGAATAGACCCCTCAGTTATTGAATAACACCCGTTGTCCCTTTTTGTTTGGTGGCTGCCCCACTAAAAAGAGCCTTCCTAAAAAAAAAGGGGTTCCCTTTTGTTTCCAGGGTCACTGAACAACTGAGTAGACTTTGTTTCTCAAAAGTTGGGAAGCAGAATGTGGGAAGAAAGTTCCCGATGGCACCGATGGGATTCAAGGTTTCTCCAGGCTCAACCGGTGAATTGCAATGGGCAAAGGAGCCCATCGGAAAGCGGGGTTTAAGCATTTGCTGGTTTTTGCTTTTATTGTTTTTCGGGTACTCTTTTTTGGTGTTGCAATCTTTCAGCAAACCGAGAGCAAAGCGGGACCAAAGCATCGGAGAGCCCACTCTGCTCGTTTCCGGTCGGAGAGGGAAGGAACTTTTCGCGCGCTATCATTGGGTTCAGCAAGGGGTCCGCTTCCTTTGCAGGTTTCCCTCCTTAAGCACTTTGTGGCAACCAAACCCCAAGCAAACAGCCCAGTTTGTTACCACTCTGCTTGGAACAGCTGGGTTGGCAACCAAATCAATCCTTAGTCCTAGCAGCTGGTACATGGCGGCTGCTCTTGTACGCCAACCCGAGCAAGCCAACCCAACAGATGGAACATGACGGCTGTCCAATTTATATGGCTTCATTTTAAGCCAGCCGAAAGAGCCAACCCAACCACACTGCTGGGCTAGGCGGATGGCTCTCCCTGGATGGCCCCTCCCTACTGGCGGACGCTGTATTGGAATGGCTGGCAGAGGACCGGGGGTTCGGCCTGGATCCGTTTGGTGAGTCAGGGTCAGTCATCAGCACCTGGGGCCAGAGAAATCCTAGGTACTTCATTGAGCATGGACAAACCACGCAGTACCAGGTAGTCGCTGGTTTACTGCCCTCTTGCGAAATTTCTCTGAAACCTGAAGTCACAAAAGCATGGGAGTTGGTGTATATAGAGGAATCCTTCCTTGACAGGTGTCCTTTCGGTTTCAGGTTTGAGTTTGCATTCAAGAGGGCCTGTGTTTCTATGATTGGTACGGTTCAACCTTCATATTTTGGCTCAAGGGAAAGTCTGCAAAACGTCTGTGCGAGTGTAACAGCCAGTTACATTTCTACGGGGGAGTTGTCTTTTCTTCAATTGCTGGGAACCCCTCAAATGCTTAACCGGGGGGACGTTGTCTTGTGTCGGGCAAACCGCGCATCTCGGTATGTCTCATGGCTCGTGCTGCGCTTGCCTGAGCCAATGTAGCAAGTCCCGCCCCAGTCATGACACTTCTTTGTGCAGGTGCTTAGTTTTTGCGTTGACGCTGGTTTTTGTGGAATAGCGTTTTTTTGTTTTTTCCCCGCGACTCAACAGCAACATGTTTAAGCCTTTTGCATCAGTTAGATCACCCCGGGTCATAATTCAAACCAGGTTCTCCCTTCATCCTGTCTCCAATATTTCATTTGTATAGTTCATGGTTTCTTTACTTTGCGCTCGGTGAAAAAACAGGGAGGAACAACAAACCATGGGCCAGTGCCTGTTGTGTTTACTTTGCGCTCCGTTTAACAACCGACAAAACCGAAAACCCCTTTGCCCGTGGGGGTATGGGGTAGCCGATTCGGCTAGGGCACTCCCAGCTTCTTCCCGCGGCACTGCCTCTCTCGGGAGACCTTGCTGGGCCTTCTGAAGCGCACGGGCCGATGGCTTGAGGCGTGTGCAGGGCCCGTGCTTGAGGGGCCTCCGAAAAACACCGGCACATGGGGGGGTGTTTTGAAAGGGGAGTCCTTTTTTGTTCGGTTTCAACAAGGAAACCTCAAGGAAAACCTACATTTTTTCTGGAAGGGGAAGGGGGGGGTCCCTTAGAAAAGAGACAGCCATATGTGGCGTGGCCATCGAAAGCAGCAGGCTTGTTCTTCCACTCTTTGGGCAAATCTTCTGAGCTATGGATTTCCCTTTCTAAAAGTGGTCCTGGATTCCTCTGGGAGTTCCAAAGAGGTCCCCCGTCCAATGACCAGAAAAAAAGCCCGGAGGCCGTGAACTCATGAACAGACCCCTGGTATTGAAGAATCAGCGATGGAGGAGAAAAAGCAGGTCCAAGGCTGAGAGGTTTGGTTCGGGGTTCGATCACAGCTTAGTCTTTGCTTGGGAGGCGCCGGGCGAAGTGTGTCGAGAGATGCCTTGGCATCCGAAGAGGGCTTTCGGAAATTTGTTGAGAAGAAAGGTCACACTTGTTTCGACGAAATCAAAGCCTAACATGCGCGGGGCTTCCGCACATTGATCTCCTTTTTGGCTCACTCCTTAAGCACAAGTCTCGGGGACTTGCCCGGGACCCACTCCCGAGGTGGACATGCAAAACGGCGCCCGCCTGTCCTTGCCACTTGTCTCAAGAGCAAGTCGTTGGGCAAGGTGCTGGAGACTTACTCCCTGAGTTCATGGACTTTAGTCACTGTTTTGGGTTTGGACCATGTTGCTGGCAAGTACAACTCAGTTGTTCAGTGGCACCCTTTTTTCCTGTTTTTTGTGGCTGCCGCACTAAAAATGGTCTTCCCAAAAAAGGGTTCCCTTTTGTTCCAGGGTCACTGAAGAACTGAGACAAAGTTCGGACGTTTAATTTCGCCAGTCCACTCAGGAAGTGAAGAGAAGGGTACAAGACTTAAAAACGATTTGAGGGAGAGGCTTCTTTACCACCTGCACCTCTCATCGCAGCTCCAAAATGCCCCTGAGAATGCATTTCCGTTTGGTTTTCTTTTGAAGACCCTATTCTGAGAGGGGTCTTGTCCGCTATGTTGGTTTCCCCACAACGTCAGCTTGGCAACAGCTCCCAGTGCAAGTAGTGCGGTTGCGCGTCGAAATGCAATGTTGGCCTCTCTAAATTGGTGGTAAGTCTGGTTGCTTCTCAGCAATATGACTGCATGGACGTGGCTTCTTGTTTTCTATTTGCTAAAAGCGGTTGTTCATATATTTCCTGTTGGTGTCAAGGGGAACTGGCATCATGACAGGAGCTTCCTTTTTATTTGTTGAGCAGCTAGAAGTTCTCGGCTCCGTTTCGGATTTCGACTTCCTCAAGGAGCGAAGCGTTGCCTCCTCCGCCCCCGGCGACAGGCTCGCTCGAGAGCTCCAGACGTTGGCTGGGTTGAGCCCCAACAAGTGTCCCGAAAAGCGCCGCCTAAGGCTCGTGTTTTGTGAAAAATCACCGAAGGGTCAACCCCCCCCCCCAGGCAAAAAGAAAGGATATAGACCTGCGTTAACCCCAAACAGGAGTGGAACTCAATGACCATTTTTTGTTGGTTGCGCGCAATCAATGGGTGTGGGTGAAAACCAATGGGATCCCATTTTGGGCTAGGTGAATTCACCACCCATTTTAATCTATAGTGGGGATTGGGATGTTCACTGGGGGCCAACCGATTTGGGTTTTGACCCATGGCCAAATGTCGGTTTATCACTTGGCCCAATGCCAGGAGATCGACTGGCTTCGTCTAGGTCCCTCTAGGTGCCCTTTTACCGTTTCTTTTTTGGGGGAGGGTTCCCCTACTAAAATAGACTACAGACAAAAGGGCCCTTAGTCTAACCTCGCTACTGGAGGACCTTGTTGTGTCTGCGCGCGCGCGTGAGATGCGCTTCACCGCGCGTAATCCCTGGCTGCCGGCGCGCTTGCAACCGCCCCTTCCCCCCCCCCCAAGGCATCAGGATTGTGTCTGGCATGCCCGCTTCGGCGCGCGTTGGGTCCGCCTTTTTTTTTTTTTTGGGGGGGGGGGTGCCGGCGAATTAGTCCGACCGCATGCTGTTTCTCGGATGCACGTGAAGGCTAGCACTGAGAAGCTCAGCTTAGACAGGGATTGCTCTTTGGCTGCCGACGAAATGGTTCAGCTCAGTAAGCTGGGAGCCAGGCTCCGGACCCACGCTTTTCAGAAGGGTAAGATCAGCTGAAGGCTGAGGAACAAAAACATAAATGGGTCCCCCAAATGTCTCAAAGGGTTCGCCTGCGCGTTCCGCCAGCGCAAAGGACCTGTTGCACCTGGTTGGACAAAGACCCCAACTGCCGAAGGCCGCGCCAAAAAATCGGCCGGCAGGAGAGCCAAATGCAACCTCAGAAGGAGATGCGGAGAGAGAAGTGACGGTTGCTCCAAAAAGCAGGCTTGGTCCCTTTTCTTTGACAAGAAAGCGCAGGGCGCCAAAGTCATTCTGTTGAACACTTTCTTCTTGGACACCCCACAAAATCAGTCAGCGGAGCTCTCGAAACTTTGAAAAACTTTTGAGTTGCCTTGTTGGGGTCAACAGGAGACGTGGACAACTTGATTGACCTCCTCATGAAAGAAGCCCTCGCTCCTGTGAATCCTGAGATGCGAGCGCGGGTGCAGAAGCTCAATCATGGCCAGGGCCTCGGATTTTGCAAGGAAGCCAGGTGACCAAGTGTTGCTTTTCGATTGGATTGTTGGACTTTCATTCTAGTGTTTCTTTTCGGTTTGTTTGTTTTTTTGGCGGGAAGTTCATTCCGGAAATGAGATTATGTGCCCACTACAGCGGATGTTGTTTGTTTGATCGAATGTGTATATATATAGTATAGGAGGGGGATTCAGCCATCCGATCAGCAAGTGTTTGAACCAAGTGCCAGTCGGTCGTGGATGTTGGACCAGGCGTGTATCGTGTCAGTGGCAAGGAGGTCACATTGCACACCTTCAGTGGGCAGCTCTATGTCTACAGAGCCTTGGCCGGTTTCTCTTCTTCTTTTTTCGGGAGGTGCAGGGGCCCTTTCTCCAGCGAAGCTGCAGCAGCCCCACTGAACCGCCGTGAAAATGAGAATTTAACGGGCGCCTCAAAATCGATGAACATGTCATAGCCAACAAGCCTTGGGTAGCCCCCGAAAAGTTGCCGACTTGTGGTGGGGGGGGGGGGGGGGGCTTCCCAGCGCAGAACGCCGGCGATTTAATGGGTCCAGCTCGGCGTTTCGAAGGAATCGGCGACAGCGTTCAGCACAAGCCTGTGAAGACGTTGCTGGTGGAAGAAGGCCTTTTGCCTCCTGAAGAAGGATACGCTGGCAAAAGCACAGGGGTTGGGAGAACCATCTTCCAGCGTAGAAATGTTGTTAGGTTCCTTGTGGCCACCCTTCGAAGGAATCGCGGAATCAAAAGGCAAGCCAAAAGCACCTTGAGCCAATGTTTCACTCTGAGAGATTTCAGAGACTATGTCACGCGGTTGAGCGAGACTAGGTCCCCCAGTAGTGCCCTTTCTCACCCCTTTTTTGATTGGGAGGGTTTCCCTACGAATAGACTACAGAAAAAGGTACCCTTATTCTAACCTCTCTACTGGATGACCTAGGAGATATCTTCGCTTGCCAGGACCTCCTCCCGCAAACCCGCCGCAAGTGGACACTTCTTCGGCACCAAGCTCAGCGCGGGCGATCAGAGCTTCCTAAGTTGGAGCACAAAACCAATCGGTTTTCGATGACCTTCCCTGTTTCTTTTCAAAGTGACCTCCTGTTTCTTGTTGAAAACCCATGAGGCATGTTCTGCCTCCTTCTTCTTTTTCGGCCACCTTTGACTGATCACTGCTTGGCTCTGTGTGTGTGTGTGTGTGTGTGTGTGTGTGTGTGTGTGTGTGTGTGTGTGTGTGTGTGTGTGTGTGTGTGTGTGTGTGTGTGTGTGTGTGTGTGTGTGTGTGTGTGTGTGTGTGTGTGTGTGTGTGTGTGTGTGTGTGTGTGTGTGTGTGTGTGTGTGTGTGTGTGTGTGTGTGTGTGTGTGTGTGTGTGTGTGTGTGTGTGTGTGTGTGTGTGTGTGTGTGTGTGTGTGTGTGTGTGTGTGTGTGTGTGTGTGTGTGTGTGTGTGTGTGTGTGTGTGTCGTGTGTGTGTGTGTGTGGTGTGTGTGTTGTGTGTGTGTGTGTGTGTGTTGTGTGGGGTGTGTGTGTGTGTGTGTGTGTGTGTGTGTGTGTGTGTGTGTGTGTGTGTGTGTGTGTGTGTGTGTGTGTGTGTGTGTGTGTGTGTGTGTGTGTGTGTGTGTGTGTGTGTGTGTGTGTGTGTGTGTGTGTGTGTGTGTGTGTGTGTGTGTGTGTGTGTGTGTGTGTGTGTGTGTGTGTGTGTGTGTGTGTGTGTGTGTGTGTGTGTGTGTGTGTGTGTGTGTGTGTGTGTGTGTGTGTGTGTGTGTGTGTGTGTGTGTGTGTGTGTGTGTGTGTGTGTGTGTGTGTGTGTGTGTGTGTGTGTGTGTGTGTGTGTGTGTGTGTGTGTGTGTGTGTGTGTGTGTGTGTGTGTGTGTGTGTGTGTGTGTGTGTGTGTGTGTGTGTGTGTGTGTGTGTGTGTGTGTGTGTGTGTGTGTGTGTGTGTGTGTGTGTGTGTGTGTGTGTGTGTGTGTGTGTGTGTGTGTGTGTGTGTGTGTGTGTGTGTGTGTGTGTGTGTGTGTGTGTGTGTGTGTGTGTGTGTGTGTGTGTGTGTGTGTGTGTGTGTGTGTGTGTGTTTTTGGGGCCGCCTTTTTCGGAAGAGTTCAAAGGGAGCTTCCGCCGGACCACGGGAAAACGGCACCGCCGACCGCAAGCCGAGGCCCATGTTCGGAGCTTCGGATCGCCGCTTCGAATCGCTGGCAGGTGGTGCGCATTGCCCAGATCTCGCAGCTGGCGTCGGCCGGAGCAAAGCCAGGCGGAACTTGGAGGGGGCAAAGGTTCAGAGGTTCTCCCCTGCCTAGTGGGTTGCTTCCTGTTTCCCCTTTTGGGTACTGGTTCCCCTTTTAAGCTCAACCAACAACAAACAAAAAGGTGCCCTTGTTTCCCATGGCCACTCGACATCTGAGTCCCGGTTTTCCCCACAAAGTCTCTTCGCCAACGCGCCGTGAGGTTTCCATTTTGCCCCATTTCTGGACATGGACAAAACTTGGGCGCTGTTTTTTTGAGTTTGTGCTTCGGTTTCCTTTCCAATATTTTCCTTTGGAAAGCCAAAAAGCTCACTTCCAGAGTTCTTGGACTTTCCACTTTTCGGTTTCGACCGTTTTAGTGGTTCAAAGAAACTCTAAGGGGTAAACTTCCCCATTCTTTCCAGGGATCCTTCTTTTGAGAAAACCACCAAAAAACCCGGAGAAATGGCGATCGGTTTTTGAGAAGAACGATGGCTGAAAAGAATGGTTGGAATCAACCCCTAGACTAATTGGTGCGTGGGATGGGTGACCTAGAGAAACAGCTTGGTTACCTTTGTTTGGGCCATCCACTCCTTAAAAAGTGGCCAAAAGCTTTGGCCACAGGCCTGGCGGCAGACCGCGGCAGCGTGCTGCCGTTCGGCCTGGGCCGACCTCAGCCGCCGAAGCAAGATCCGCACGCCCTGATCTCCAAGCGCATCGAGGCTTGGGTCTCTGGGCGCTCTCCGGGCTCGAGCGAAAAGGAAAAAAGCGTCAAGCGCCCGGCAAAGGGAAAGACATAGATCTTTTTTGTTTGGCATGTCTTGTTTGTTGTTTTGTTTTTTTGTTCTGTTCATTTTTTTTGCGGGGGGGGGGGCTGCTGCAAAAAGACCGGGTTTTTTGCAGCCATGCCAAGAGTTGTAGCGCAAAGGATGCATGGAGGTTGATCAAAAGGTCCGTACACAGGGTGGCCATATGGAAAACCACCGAAAAAGACGTGATTTCACTGGGAACAGTTGCCCATGGTCATGTTCTGGCCAGGAAGATTGATTAACCCCTACATGTTGGCCTAAATGAAAGCTGGCTCGTTGGCAGAACAATAGGCACGCGGGAAAATGAGTAAATAAGGAAATAAATGCAAAAAAGCAAGATATAGATAATGATATAAAGAAAGAACAAAAGAAACATAGATAGAATATGATAGAAGACAAAGAGCAAGAACGGGACGGAAAGAGACAAATACTAAGAATATGAGGATGAAGGCAAAGACAACAAAGAGAGAAAGAGAAAGATACATACACACATTTATATATTGAAACTTCTACCCTGCAACACTTGTATTTTCATTGTTTGGGTTGTGCGAACATCACCTTGCGGTTGCCATCTGAGTTTGCCTGTGGTGTGAAATTTCCTGGGCATGAGGTACCCAAAACTGTGAATGTTGGACTTTCAAGGCCTTGAAAGGGGCCAGAGCGAATATCATGATTTAATCCCGAGAGCAGATGGAAAACCAACAACGTCTGCTGCTTGACCATGTAAACTGCAAGAAGTCTGGGGTGGGTTGAGGGTTGGTTTCACTGCTCCGCATGGTTAACCTGTTGACTCCATTTGTTGAACATATCGGGTCCTTTCGAATACACGCGCTTTGACATTAGGATGGCACGGGGGAACGTCTCCGACGCTGGTTTGTGTTGGAGGGTTTTGGGGGGATACCTGCGGGGTGTTTGCTGTGTGCATCTCTGGGATGAGAGGTGCCTTGATTTCCAGAATGAAAAGGCCGTCTAAAACCCGGGACCACTGTAGCTCTCTTTCTGCAATTGCAAACGATGCTTGTAGGACCTATTCAAGTTTCATCTTTTGTTGATGTGATGATGTTTAAGGGACAAGCATAGGGAGTTCTGCACAAAATGCCTAAACTCCTTAGAACTCAAAACCCTGTCTGATGCAAGCGGAGCTGCATGCTCACGAGGCCTTGCGACCCATTCCAGGCAGCTGAAACCTGGGCCCAGCATTCCAAGTTGTGTCCAGGGCTTTCAAGAAGCGCGCCAGCCTTCGGACCCCAATTTCCATAAAACCAGTTTGGGCACAGGGCCATTGCGGAACCCCCGTCAAAAGAAAGAGGAGGGGTATTTATTTTAGGATTTTGTTTCGTGTTTTTTTTGTTTTTTTTTTCCGATTTTTTTTCCGCTTTTGGCTTCTTGGCTTCTTGGCTTCTTGGCTTCTTGGCTTCTTGGCTTCTTGGCTTTTTGGCTTCTTGGCTTCTTGGCTTCTTGGCTTCTTGGCTTCTTGCGACTTCTTGGCTTCTTGGCTTCTGGGCTTCTGGGCTTTTCGGCTTTTTGCTGGCTTATGCGGCTTTTGGTAGCTTTTTGGCTTTTCGCATCCTCTGCATTCCCAGTTCCTCTTCGGCAGGTGGCATTTTGGCTTTTGCGGCTTTTCGCTGGTTTATGCGGCTTTTGGCGGCTTTTGGCGGCTTTTGGCGGCTTTCGGGCTTTTTGGCTTGTGCGCCCTTTCATTGGCTTTTGGAGTTGGCTTCCCGCATCATCAGCATCACCACCACCCTATTTTAATCATCAATTCTTCGACATCATGGGGGGGGGGTTGCCGCCTCGCCCCCGTTATTTTTAGATTTCTTGCAGAGATTGAATTGCACCCCTGTTTGAATCATCACTTTTTCGAGCGTCCAATTTCGCGAGAAAATGCTGCAAAATACGACATTTTAGGTAATCTGTGTAATCCATGTATGTCTGTATGTATGCATTTCTTCGAACATCATACGGGAAGCCACGCCCTCCAACCCTCCCGCTGCCTTTTCAATTCTATCGCACCCTTTCTTGAATCATTGCACCCCTACTTGAATCATCACTTCTTCCGACATCGTGGGGGGCCCCAACCCCGCTACGTTTTAGATGTTCTACAGAGATTTAATTGCACCCCTAGTTGAATCATCAATTCTTCGAACATCATGCCCCCCCCAACCCCCCCGCTAGTTTTTAGACGGTTTGCAGAGATTTAATTGCACCCCTATTCGAATCAAGACTTCTGCGACCTTCCCCCCGTGCCCGTGCTTTTTTTTTAGCAAAAAAAGATTCTCATTTTTTGACCCCCGTCAACACGCCAGCTACTTTTTGGATTTTGTTGCCCACGATTTGTTGGTGATGCTAGGGATGTTGGTTGGACATGCGGGGGATGTTGAAAACGATGCTGGGGATGTTGACGGGCTAGTGTAAAATGTGTCAAGAAAATGCTGTAAAATACGACATTTCACTGGACGAAAAAAAAAAAAAAACGGAAAAAAACACCCAAAATAAATCCGCACCCGTTTTGCCCAGCAAGCACACAGATATAATAAATGTTCTTTTTAGTCACTCGGGTTTGCCGACCATTTGAGTGGTAGTTGTTTAAAGAACATGTTCAAATATATATATATATATATATATATATATATATATATATATATTGAAAAAGATGTCCTGGTTACTTCGGCCAGTCAGAAGTGAGAAGAGACTTCTTCGTGCGCCGTTTGAACCAAAACCGTTGACCGAGAGACCCGAGGCCGCCAGCGCAGCAGCGGAGATCGCGAAGCAAGTGCTGCGCCGGCAGATCGACTTCGAGGATGTCCAAAATGGAGAGAAACGTGGGGAGGGGGGGGGGGGGGGCGGAAAAACAAACCACCCCATCTTCCCCAACCACTGCTTGTTGCTTATATATATATATATATGTGTTTTTCAAGCATGTCCATGAGTCCATGTCTGCCACGCAAGCAGTCCAAGTGCGGGCGCTGCTTGCGGGAAAATGAGGGGAGGGGGGGGGGGGGGGGTTGAGTGTTCCTAGCTACAAAGGCACCTTTAAACGCCAGGACGCCTGCTTGAATAACCTGGGTGGTGTCCTTACCACAAGGTCCAAGAGTGGCAACAGGGACATTGCAATGTTTGAAAGGGAAACCCAGTGACGCCTGAAACAGCACACCCTGAACGCCGGCATGTTGGCCTGGTCAATATGCTGAAAGCGGTGTGCGGCGATCATTAGAAAACAACACCGCCCAAGATTGAGGAAAGTCCACCCTTCTTGCAAACCCGTTCAAGTACCCCAGCAAGAATAGCCAAAACAAGATGCTTGTTTGAGCATGAATGAATTAGAGGTTCTTTGACAGGATGAGGAGAAGTTGCGGAAGCTTCTCATCAAGGGCTGCAAGTACGACCAAGACTGGCTGAAAGCCTACCAGGACAGACATGGTGCGCTTTGCTGGGGGTATCGTGCACGCTGGGGTTGCACTGTAGGAGTATTGCAGCCGGAGAAGAGTCTCCCCTGATGCCGTGCTGACCGCGCCCAGGGACGGGATCCAGCTGTGCAGCATTTGCGAGAGAGAGCGAGAGACCTGGGTGTTTCCTGAAACTCAGAGTTAAATTGTGGTCCCCTAAATTTAGCTGCTTCTTATTGGTTTCCCCCAGAATGCCCTCGCCATGTAGGGGAGACTGGTGGTACTTGGTGTCTGCCTTGCGCCATCCAAATGCGACCCCAGCCAGGAGGACCCAGCCAGGGAGACGAACCCGACCATTTGAGGAGGTGAATTCTATGCAGGTTTCCAAAGGTCATCGGGCCCATATAAACCTTTGCACCTTGTTACAAGGTTCCCTAAAGATTTCCATGTCGGTGCTTCTCCACCATACTTGTTTTTGTTTTTTTAGTGCGTCTATCTATCAAAGAAGACTCACCATGACATGTGGGTGTCAACAAAATAACAATCACACCCAACATGGTGAGTCTTCGACTTCTTGCTTGAGATATGGCTCTGGGTCAAAGCCAATGGGATCCCATTTTGGGATAGGTGAATTCACCACCCATTTGTGGGGATTGGTTGATATTCACTGGGGGGTAACCGAGGTTGGATTGGTATGTCTGGTGGCTAACCGATTTGGCGGCTGAAAAGCCCATGGCCATATCGAGAGGAGTTCATGGCGACCTTTGTGGAGCAAAACTTGCCCAACTCCATCAATCTGGTACCCTGTCTCAGGTGAGAAAGATGGGGGGTAGGCCTTTCTAAAATGCCGGTGTTTTGTTCGTGTGGTTTTCAGGGGAAACCGTGTGTATTTTTTGGTGGTAGGGTGTTTTTAGCACCTGTTTTTCGGCGTTTCTGTGGTCAGGAGTGCTTTTCGGGATGGTTTGGCACCAGAAAACGGCCCGAAAGATGGGTGTGTCCTTTTCAAAATACCTGTGTTTTGTTTGTGGTTTTAAGGGAAAAGCAAGAGTCAGGGTGAAAGAAATGGACCCTCAAAACAGGGTTACCCTCATGGGTGCCAGTGCGACGGCTGAGTTCGCCATGATTTTCCCGTGCGGCGTGTCTTTGTAGGGTACCCATGTGTTTGTGGCAAGGGGAAGCCAAATGGACGAGCGAAGCCACTTTGGGGTGAGACCTGAAAGACACGTGACAGCGCAGTTCCCTTTGAGAGTCATCCAAACATGTTTGACACTATAGTCGAATCGGACTCTTGGGGAAATAAGTAAAGGGCATGGCGAATTTGTTGTTGTGACTTGTTTTCCCCGGCGGGCTCGCCCAACTGTCCGGAGCAGTCATGGGAGTTGCTTAAAATGCTTGCAGTTGAAAAGGAACCAATGGGAAAGCTGGCTATTTTGTTGGAGACCTTATTCTGGAGAAATACATGCTTGAGAATGCAGAGGTTTTCACCCGATGTTATTCAGATACATGCTATAGTGCTTTCTTTTCCGAAAAGGACACACATTTGTTTCACCATTTTTGCACTAAACCGTGCTTGTGATGAGCCAAAAGCATGCATGCCGCGCCGTATCCGAACGACTCAGGAATGGGCCCAGAAGGTCATCCAAGGCAAGGATAAGAAGGAGAAGAAGGATAAGACCAAAGACAAGAAGGACAAGAAGGACCCAGCGCCTTGTTGCCAGGCTTGCATTCTTTTGAATGTGCGACATGCCAGGAGAAAGACAAGAAGAAGGACTGGGCGGATTTGCAGACATAATATATGTGTCAGCGATTGTCACGGGCAAACATGGATGGCAGCTGCTGCATACCTGCAGGCTCCAGACCATGTCTTTCTCGTTTGTTGCTTGGGATTGATCCCCATGCAGTTTTTAGAGGAGGTGCACCAAGCGACCGAACTGGGATCTGTACTGCCATCCGGCGCGGGCTAAATATATCCAGTCGTCGAATCCCTCCACGAAAGATCAGTAGGCTCTTTAGAGAAGCCGCATATTCTGAAGATGGATCATCTACTGCAGTCAAAGCAGTGACATGAGGCATGGTGGAGCACGGTGGTTTGCCTTGTAGCAGGCAGCTCCCGGATCAGGGCTCCCCATTTGGACCAACCCAGATAGCTGGAACACTGAATATTCATCCAATTGGATGGGTCTTTCTAGGGGAACCTTCAAAAAGGTGGTTGTCCTTTTTGTTTCCCTTTGAAAGCAACCAAAGGCTTCCCCAACAGGGCAAGCCCATGTTTTCTACCCCAAGTTGCATCCCCAGAAAGGCCTTCGTTGCAGCCGGTGCTTGACCTCCGGATTTCGCCCTCTGGTTTCGAACATATTTTCCCCAGCTGAGAGCTATGGGGACGACAGGCAGAGAAATTGGCTCTGGTTGATTTGGAGCTGTCAGGGAGCATCCGGAGATTCGGCTCCTTGGGCTAAAGGCCCACCTGCGCTAAGTTCTGAAAAGTATGCCCAGTTTTTGTTGATCAAAGGCGTGCCAAACAGCAACAGCAGAGTGGTCCCAGTGACAAAATTATCTGAAAATGTCCGAAAGGATCACACACCCAAAACCAGTTGCCCCATGGCCTAAAGCCCCTGCACCTGGGCATCTCCTTCCTTTTCTTTGCGGGGCCTCAGACTCCTTCGTGTTTCTGATGCAGGAGAAGAAGCGCGAGCTTCCAGCCGAGGCCGGTTCACAGAGAACTGATTTCTGCAGGTGAACCGCGTCAAAACCGTCCTCCGGGTAGGAGAAAAGAGTCCGTCCCAACCAATGGCTGCCTTCGCCGCCTTTTATTCCACTTTTGCGCAGATGTTAGTGGCTGGATCTCCGAAGTTCACCCAAAAGCCGAGCCAACTTTTGGCGGAAGGGATCTGAGGACAGGATTTGGGGGCTCTGGGACTGGATGGCATGTTCCTGGACGTGGGAAAGTCCCTGACGAAGGCGGGTCTATAAAAGGTCCATAAGGGTTTTCTCACGGATCCGTAGGCGTGCCCTTTTTTGGTGTGCAAACAGAAAGTAGCGGGCGATTCCTGGGTTTGGATGGGGGTGTATGAGCCATTTACCAGGGCCATCTGTTGTTCCAAAAGGCCACAACTATGCATGTAAACACTAGAACTCATGAAGGCTGGCGCCACGGGCTTGTGTTCAGTTTGAGCCAAACGAAGGGGCGATCCACTTGCGGAGATGGGTTCCCATGTCCAAGCTCCACATTGGTCTGTTGTTTGCTGGGGGTACGCCCTTTTTTCGCTGTCACGAGCTCATGGTAAAGATCCTTTACTTGGAGATCCCGATGTTTTCAGGTTTTGGACATAGTATGAAATTTGCAGAAGTTGTGTAGGCCGATTGGCCGACATGATGCGAACTTTTTGCTAGGTTTCCGACAGGAGTGAATCGAACCAAGAAGCTCATAGAGATTCATTGGAACAAGAGCTCAGTTGTTCAGTGGCACCCTTTTTCCCTTTCTTTTGGTGGCTGCCCCACTAAAAATGGTCTTCCCAAATAGGGTTCCCCTTTTCTTCCAGGGTCACTAAAAACAACTGAGAGAGGTTCACAAGAGGTCGATAGAGGTTGCTACGGCTTCAGATTCGTGGCTTCCGCGGTTTTTATGGGGTTCTCACTGTTCAGCTTCGAGCGCTTAGGATGGACCGGGAGATCCCCGTGCGCGGCGAGTGTGACGACAGAAAGAGGGCCCAGAGTTGGGCTTGCCAGGAAGTCCCAAAGGTGGTGAAGAAACATGTTTAAAGGGGCGTTGGGTCTGGGTCATGTTTAGACACGGGGTGAGTGGGCTACCCGCGGTTCACACATGTCTCAACGACAGGACCCTGACTAGTGGTGTTCAAGATGTTGGCGCAAGCGGTTGGCCCAATTCTGGGGTGCAGGTTTCACCAGTTAAAGGCCAAAACAGCGCATCGCCAGCTGAGTTTCGACATTTGTCGTCCAAACCGAGCCCCAAAATGAGGCCCAGCTTGAAAATCCTTGAAAGCCACCCCTAAAAGGCTACCTGAACCCTCAAACTACCCTTAAAAAAGGGAATTGCTCCAAAACACGGTTCTGGTTTCCAGCCACGCGGCCAGGTGCTGTCCGAGTTTCTGACAGGCCGCCAGTTCCTTCTGGGCCAGGCGAGGCCTGTATGTTTCTTCCTGGCCTGTATACTTTTTGGGAAGACCATTTTAGTAAACAACACGTTCAGATGTTTTTGGGCACTCAGGAAGTGAGAAGCAGCCAGGTGAATGGGTTTCAAAAGGTCCCCTTGGATGTTCAAGCAACTCATTGTGTTGAAGGCCTTTAGCCAGCTACCCCGCTCATGTTTCTTGCAATGTTGACGAGCATGAGTGTGTGGCTTTGACATTGCATGAGTGGGTCTCAAAATGAGCTGGGAGGATTGGGTTGGGTGCTTGACTAGCTGGCTGTCTTTGGTTGGTTTTCTTTGGGTGGTGCTTGCTTGGCTGGCTGGTTGGTGGTTTGGTTCAGTTCGGTTTGGTTGGTGGTTTCCTTCTATGCCTCATGCCTCTTCCGAAGTACTCTGGCGGGAATGTCATGCGCCCAGTGTCAGGATCTGACTCTCGCCGACATAGGTGGTGCCCAGGACTCGGAATATGCTTGCAGCACAGGGAGGTGTACTCCCGGTCGTTTCTTTTGGGCTGGCATTTTTGTAGCCCAACCAATCAGTACTTCCCCTTTCTCCTATGAATGCCGAGCCGTTTTCCTGGTAAACCTTTTTTTGGTATGGGATGTCGCGCCGTCTTCTGCGTAGGCTTGAAGGAGCCAGCTTTCTAAAAACAATCTCTCAAACCAGCCCATTCCCCGGATTCCCAGCCAGCCACTCCCGGCCATTTCCAACCTTTGCCAAGCTTCGTCCGACCATTCCAAGCTGCACTCACAACATCTGCCTTTTCCCCGAGCATGCCTGACCATTCCCCGACAATCCCCAGCTGCATCCACAGTGGCAACTGGAAGCATTTGGTATACTGAGACCATTCCATTTTTATTCCGGACCATTCCCCTCCATTCGACGACTCAACATTGCTGACCATCGGTCCCAACCATTGCCGACTTGCCATCTGCCTTCCCGACCACTCCCTGCGAGGACCAAATCACTGACCAATCCTGACAAACTTTGCCCGATGACACCCAGCGTTCCTGGCTATCTGAGCCCTTTCCAACAATTCCGTGCTGCTCCGACGACCTCTTCACCATCTTGGACGATTCCGGAAGAAGAGAACTTGCTCCTTAGCATCCTACCAGGCCCCGCAGGACGGTCCGGACCATTCCGCGACCATGCCCCACCATTCCTGCTGACCGTCCCCACAACATCCCCACCATGACCGAATCCTTGCAAGCCCGACTTGAAAACTCCTGCTTGTCCAAATTCCGCTGGGGTGTTTTGACGATTCCCAGTCCGCACAGGCTTATCCCCATCAACGCCCTAAAGCAACTGGCCCAAAAAAGAGAAGTGGCCATGGGGCATCACCTATAGCGATCCCATGAGGTGGAACATCCATTTGCCATTTTGATGTTCACCAGGGGTTTTGACCAGCCAAGTCGGAGAACCCGAGGTCTGCGCCTTTGCGCCGGCTTTGGCATTGCTGCCCCTGCCCTTCCCCACCGTGCGGGCATGGCGCGCGCGGGGACCGGGGGGACCTTTTGGACGGAACGGCACCGGACGGAGCGCGCCGTTGTGATCACCCTTCCGCTGTAGGGGCCCCCGCCTTTCCACAGAGAAACAACGTCGTGATTCTTGGACCCCACATGGGTAACTTGTTCCCAGTGTGTGGGAAATATCATCTTTCTGGTGGTTCTCGCCAATGGTCATACCATGTAAAGGGCCTTTTGATCAGCCCCCCGTTGCCCTGGACAAGGGGACGGATCGAGTTGGAGGTCGGGGGACTGTAGAGGGAGCAACATGAGTCGCCAGCAAAGCTTCGCTTTGCAAGGCTTGGGCCATTTCTTTGCAGGATGTCCTATACCTGCCCCTTTCGGCGGTTTTGAACATGTGCCAAGTTGCTGTCAGTGTCCTTTTTGGCGATGTTTGAAGGTTGAACATGCAGAAAATCCTAGCTTGAGTGAACCCCAATGGCTTACTCCCGCTACAATCAACAGCCAGAAGACCAACACCATCCCTTCTTACCTGCGTCCGTTACTGGGATATTGCATATGTTCGCAGCCAGAGGATATAGCTACCCCCTTTAGGCCACCATGGAAAGCCACGTCAAAAATCTAGAGGTACAAACCTTCCCTGCGAAACGTTGCCCGGATTCCTTGGGCTTGGTCCCCCCACAAGGAAGGGGGGAACACCTTGAGCGGAGAAATGTCATTCACATGTTGAGTTGAGATTAACAAGCCCCCAGCTATGGGGGCGGGGGGTGGGCGGGGTGGGCTGGAAGAAAGCCTTGCCGAAAAGGGACCCCCCCTTCTAGGGGTTGATTCCCCATTCTTTTCAACTATATTTCTTTCAAAAAACAGCTGTTTTCCTAGGGTTTTTGGAGGTTGTCTAGAAAGACTGAATACGTCGGGGCTTAGCATGCTGATGTAGAGCCATTCGCACTTGCGCGATTGCCTGGCGAAAAAGTGACTAGGGGCCAAGGACTACGGGCCCACGAAAAAAAAAAGAAGAAAAAAAACGCGTGTATTTTCGGAGCCCAAAGGCTGGTATAACTTTCTCTCAAGGAGATCCTCACCCTCTCAACAATGGAATTGGGGAGGGGGGTGATTTTTGGAGATCTCCATGTCCGGCCCATGTTCCTTTGGCAAGGGAAATCACCCCTGCCCCAGGGTACTGCGGTGCCTGGACCACCCCGCCTTCGCCGCGCATGCCGGGACCCCGGAGCCAGAGTGTGGTTGGCTTGGTTTTTGTATGGGAGGTTGGGCTGTGGGCGGGGCGCGGGATGGTCAAGTAGTTCAAATACGACTGAATTGGTGCTTGGGATGGGTGACCGGTTTGATGTGAAGCCCAGGTTGCGGATACCCTGATGACCCAGATTTGCAGAGCTGTTGATAGCCCACGGGCACCCGATGCTTGGCACGGGAATGTGCCAAAAAAATATGGGGGAGGAGCCTAAATACGGCGCTTTTTCTTTTGGCTGGCCCTCATCTACCTCAATCTGAAGGGCTATCTTAGCTCCAACTCCTTTACTTGGGTCAGTGAAACCGTCCACCTCATCGGTACTGTTTTTTCGCCATGATCCCAATGCAGACCCCATCGAATTCCCTTCAATGGAGAACCCATAGCGAGCAATTCCTCAGGGGCCAACTTGAAAGCAGTCCCAGTTTAAGCATCCAAAACCCATCGAATCCGACCCTTCCGCAGCCCCCAACTGCTTCTTTTATCAAATCTGGACACCACGCAGCGACTGAGCTCTCTAGATCTTGTCGTTTCGTGTGTTCTCTAGTAGCCCCAGAGGAATTCGTTTTCGAACATGGCGCGGATTGATCCCCGTGTGAAGAAGTTCCCAGGCGGGGCTCCGAGAGTGGATCTCAGAGCCAGCGGCGTGGCCGCCAGAGGAGCTCGGCAGCCTGCAGGCTCGGATCGACTGACAAGATGGAGAGCCCGGCGTGGCGTTTCTTGGGCCACCATGACCTCTCACAATCCTTGGGATAGTTGCAAAACAACGCTGACTTCAGAACCCCTTGGTATGGTTGCAAGACAACGGTGTGTTGTGCAGCCCCCCAAAAAAACCTAAAAAGGAAGAGAAAGAAAACTGGTCAAGAACAGCGCAGATATGGGAGTGTTGTATTTGTTTTCTGGAGTTGCTGCCCATGTTGGGATGGTTTTAAAGGCCAAAGGGAAAACTCGGCATTTTGGGGAGGTCCGCGGAAAAAAAGACGAGCCACCCATGTTAAAGTAGCCCGAGGTCAGAATCCTTGTAAGGTCCAAACTGGGATGAGGAACTTGTAGGTTTTGGGCTGTGCAGGGGCGGCTAGGGACTCACTGGGCTTCTAGTCTCTAGATATGGCCGTCGGCAAGAATTGGTACTCAAAATGGTTGCCTGGTTCATGGAATTGGGGACTGAAACTTTGCAGTCCCAGGTGGTTTAAATTGTTTTTGACCCGCCCATATTAGGAATAGCCATCTAGAACGAAGAGTCAATGGCGCGCGGCTCACTTCGGATGGTTTGGGGCTCGACTCAGATTTGAATTTTCGCCATGTCCTTGGTCGGTGCCGAACCCAGCGAAAGATCGACCCAAAAGGTCCGGGTCACCGGATCCTGGAGATCTGAAAAAGACATACCCACCAGCACCCCCCCCAAAAAAAAACAAGCTGCTTTTTGTGCAGCACCAAGTAGGGTGGGGCCACCCATTGCTTTAAACATGTCTAACCAAGTTAGTGATTCTTCCCTTGTAAAGGTGGTGCTTAAACACTATTTTGCCCCAGGCACCAAGGGGATTTTAGTTGCCAAAGCATCTGGATTGTCGCATTTGCCTTCCATTCAGCGCGGCTCGAGGGCATCTTCAGGAACTTGTAAAGATGAATGACCAGCTGGGGCTGCTACACTTGCCACGGAAGGCGACTTTGGGGGCTTGTGAGGATTCGACAGCCCCAGATGGTCTACAGGCAGCTGGTGCGGGCGCATCTTCACTTGTCCCAACCACGTGAAGCAGTTGTTGGCGGATGCTTCTGCGCAGGCTGCGATTCAGTCCAAGGGGGCCAAGAAGCCGCTGCTGCCAGGCAGGTTGAGTGAACCTGGCGGGAAGTTTGAGATTTAGGTTGCCACTTGGGAGAAAAAGCCCTTTTGAAAAATGCATCTCGTGACAAGTCGTGGTTGGATGGGAGTTTGCCATTGTTGTGTTGCGGAGAGGGAAAATATGTGTTTCAGACAGGCAGCCATGTTCAGCGACAGGAGCTGAGACATCCGCCAAAGCCGCGCGCTGAGCGTTTGAAATGCTCCGCCCAGCTTCGAGCCAGTGAGTCCATGTGTGTGTGTGTGTGTGTTTTGTTTGAGGGTGCCTTTTTTGGGTTTCGATTTGCTTCCCCATCTTGAGACACAACCATTTAGGTATAGATTTGGTTGGGGACAAGTTGGTGGACATCGGGATTTGACAATCTCGGTTGGCAATTCAGATCCATAGACATTTCCCGGTGCAGTCGGCAATCAAGCGAAGTCAGTTGTTTTCAGGCGTATCTTCCAATGTTTCGATTTGCTTCCTTGTAGAACCACAGGAGCCACCCTTTCAAAAGCGGAAAGGATGGCTGGTGACTTAGTGGTCACTGGGATCGGCTGGGCTGTTTTCGCACGAAGCTGTTCAGTTTCAGATGTTCGGAGACGTTCCGCGCGCCTAAGGTGGTACCAGATCGCCCTAAGGTCACGCGTCGGGTCGCCCAGTTGGTTGCCGGGCGTGAGTGGATCTCTCCTTCGGTTGATGGGGCTTCTTGAGATCAAGTCTTCTCCCCTTGGGGTTGCAGGTTTATGTGGGTGTGGGCCAAAAATGGGATGCCCCAACCATCCTTTGGAAAGGGCGAAACTAATTTTGACCCATGTGGGTCTCTCTCTTTTTTTCGTTCGGAACCCCTTTCTGATTGGCTTCACTGAAAAATCGGGAAGCCAACCATTTGCAGCGGAGTCCCAAATCCTCACGCCACCGACAGGTACCGCGCCCAAGCCTTCGGCGGAGCCGCCCACGGCTCCAAAGGCCGGCTGCAGTTGAGTCGATGGAATTGGGGTGTGCGTCTTTCTTGTTTCTTTCAGGCGGAGGGGGGGCCTCAAAATCGATTGGTTTTCCATTGAGAAAACAGGGCACTCTGAAAAGCTTTTTCATGTTGGGAAAAGAATTGGCGAACTCAAGGGGCGTTGCAATGGCAGCCATGAGGGTAAACGTTGCTTGGGCGGGTCCATGTCTTATTGGGAGATGAGTTATCAAGGTTCAGCCATTGTTCCTTGGGGATGGGGATACTTCGGGCCAGGGGTGATGGACTTGGTCGACCATCGCAAGGGTTTGTTGCAAGGGAACGTGCCGGCACGCATGCTCAGTTTTTGGTTTTGACCGTGGCTCCTTTGTTTTGCTGGGTCTCAGTTGGGTTCGCAGCCTCTTCATGGCTTTTAACAGGAGAAACACAACTAATTTCCCACAAGCGTTGTGTTGGCAGGCAGTCTGCCTAACCTGACGACCATCAAAATGGCGGCCGGGATGTCTAACAGGAAACACCCTTTGGTTAGTGGCCATACATCCTTCAAATGATACCCAACCACCCCCCCCCCCCCCCAATGACTGCTTTTTGGACAGCGCTCAAGGTTTTGGGCATGGCTGAAAAGCAGTTGGGGAGCTTGCGATTCAGCTTCGCGTCGATAGGCGCCTGCAAATCGCCCGAGGCGCCACGTGGGATTCGTGTGGGTTGCTTTTTGGTTCCACAGTGAACATTCCCCCTTCAAAAAGAGGTGGCTTCAGACTGCAACGGTTCGTTGTTGTTTCCCCCACACCTTGCAACAAGTCGAAGTGTTTGGTTTTTGTGCAGGGCACAATAGCCACCAGGAAAGGGATCACCCAAAAGCAGATTGGTCTAAGCTTCCTCAATGTTGATCAGGACGAGTCCGCAGTTACGATATGTTTCATGATGTCAACCCTATTCTTGGCAACCCTCCCAAATCAAATCTTGCTCTTTGGTGCTACCGTGATCCCTCTCGCCTTTGGATTCCCCAGCCAAATGAACTCTTTGGGGTCCAAGACCAACCAGATGCCGTGTGGCACATGCGACGTGAATCTTGTCTGAGACGGGTAAAAGTATTGGTGTCTCAAAATGGGGAGCCCCCTGCAGTTGGTAGTTGAAGGGCAACCCAAAAGAAGCCAACTGTTTTAGGACCTGCATTTGAGAAAAGCCCAAATATTACTGAGCTAGAACGAACTTTCAAGACTCTGCGCATGGCACCTTGAGTTGTGGCAGGGTATGTTTGCCGTGCTTTTGAGTTTTTGCTTTCTAGGTTTAGTTCATACTTGGCCAGTCCCAAAGGTGATCATCTTTTAGTTGGTCTTGGTGTCGCAAGTGAAATTGCCACCGTCAGTGAAATCTCTCAAAATGGGCATCGTCAGTGGAACCTGGTCAATCAAAGGGAATCGCCGAAATCGGAAGAGCATCCACAGGCATGGCGTTGTCTCCATCTTCGGGGAACCCGAGACATGATTTCCTTCCGTGGCCCCTTCAAACCGACGTTGTCGCTTTGGTTTCCTTGATAGCTCCATCCGGCTCCTTAGCTTTGTAGCCTTTTGGTGCTTAGTGGTAGTTTCCGAATTTCACCCACAAAGAGTCAAGCTTTGAGCGGGGGATCTGAGGGCCCAGTTTTCTTTTGGGTTTCCCTTTTGGGTTCCCTTCAAACATGTCCGGAGGCCGGCGGAAGTGACACCGGCTCCCGATGGAGGCATGGGGCCCGGGCTGGAAGTGGCTGAATTTAGCTCGCCCCCAATTTTGTTCCCGTGCATCTAAGACCACAAAGTCGTACATCTCCGGACAGAGTCAACCACGTCGCTCCATCACGGAGAGCGCGTCTCGTCCCACCTTTTCGGCTCGTTTCTTTTGGGAGCCCCACAGGAAGCCATCTCAGTTTTGGGGTTTCCTGGTATTGAAATTTGAGACATCCCCTGCGTTTCCTGGGGACCCTCATTTTTTTGCGTTTGTCCTTTTTGGGATCTGATCACAAAACCGCAAAAAGAGGGGGTACCAACTCCAAAAAAGACCCCCTCCCCCCTGTTCCCTGACTGCTAGTCCCGCAGCCGAAGTGCGTGAAAGGCTGCACCTCTCGCTTGCGCCTCTTGCGCTTTTCGCAGGCGGGTTCTGGGGCGCGGTGGTGAGCCTCATCAAATACCTCGCCGGAGGCTCAAGGAACATGGAGTCGCCCGGCGAAGCCATGCAAAGCCATTCGAGCCTAGACCGCCCCCCACAACAAGCACCGGCCCCTCCTGGGTTTGTTGGGGCTGGCGTTCCTCATTCTGGGTGTTCTTGTGCGAGTTCGTAGTTGACTTTCCTGGGAATGTGCCAACGGTTGCCAAAACCCCCAGCTTTTTGCTTCCTTCTGGTGGTTGCTGGCAAAAATGGGCTAGAAGGGAGTTCTCCTCGAAATCGGAGCGACACTTCTAAGGTTTTTGGACCGGGATTGGGATACCTTGGCAGAGTACAACGCCCTGCTTGGCGTTGTGTAAAAAGTTTGAAGCCCTCCAAATGTTGATTTTGCTGGAGAAATCCCCGAAGTGTTGGTTTCATTGGTGGTTTCCCTGCAGAATAGTCCACCTTAAACCGGCCGATCAGCTTCCATTAGCCGAAATGCATATTAGTTCTGCTCCCCATCCTGGCGTTCAAAAAAAAAGAGAGGCCTTTTTGTTTTTACTGGACGTCTGCTTCTCGCTTATTTTCCCCGGGCGATCTCGATCTCGACCAGGTGCTGGGCCCCGAGGGCTCGGAAGCGCGCGTGGGCGCTCAGCGGGTCCCGCTCAGCTCGGCGGGGCTCGGCGGCGCTCAGCTCGGAATGCCAGCGAGGCTCTGGATTCGGGAGGCTGTCTTCCATTTGAAATGGCCATGGGTCATAACCTATGCCACTTTGGCGCGGAACACCCTTGTAGCACCTATTTTGATGTTCACCAGGGGTACAGGCATAGAGCCGTGTTGTGTACTTGGTGGTTTCCAGCCATCATGTTAGCTGGTTAATGTTTTTTGGTTTTTGTTCCCCTTTTTTTGCGTTGGTTTCGTAGGGCTCGGTTTCCGAATTGCACCCACAAGCTAAGTCAACTTTGAGCAGATCTGAAGGCCAACCGTTTCAACGCCGTGTTGGGTTGCGTTTGCTTCGCCACGTGCCACTTGCCCAACATAAACATTGAGCACGTTAAGCCCTGCCCTAAACGTCATGACCCCTCCAATGCAGTGCTAAAGGGCCTGAGAAACAGTTCATTTTCGGTGATCCCAAAACAGTCGGGGGGTTGATTTGCTGGTGCTCAGCGGGGAATGAGGGAATGAACCGCTCCCCTTAAAAGGAAACCACCATTGGGATGGTGTTTTGCGGGGTCCTTCCGTTTCTCATTCCCTGCCGATTTCGCACCAGCAAGTTGATTTGAGCGAGACACCTGAGTCAGAGGGAGCATGAGCTTAAGCCCCCGAGCCCGCGGCGCCCAGGCCAGGACAAGGCCAAGGCAGCTTCAGGGCGCCCGCTCGATTGAGGGGAGGGAGCAGACGCATGAGAGTGCTCCACGGTTTTTCTTGGCAGCGCTTTGGGGTGACCTTGCAAACGAAAACCACAAAGCAACCGGGCCCCATGTCCTTTTTTTCAAATACAAGCTTGCACATGTGGAACTGCACGTCTCAAGTGCTTCGTGGATTGCGAGGACTCGAGGGGAACAGGGAATTTTCAGTGCCATCCGCTGCCACGTCAGGCACGCCGTTCCTGGCGAAACTTCTACCCAGGCGGCGCTCGCTTTCAGTCAGGTCGGCTGAGTGGAAGCCACCGAACTTCATCTCAAGGTCCTCAGTTGTTCAGTGGCACCGATTCTTTTTACCCGTTTTTTTGGTGGTTGCCCCACCAAAAATGGTCCAAGCCCCAACAAGGCTTCCAATTCTTTGTTTCCAGGGTCACTGAAAAACTGAGGGTGTTCCTGAGGTTGGAAGAAGGGACATGGTCCCGGGTTTTATGCAGAGTAATCATCGGCGCCACGCCACATGCCAGAACTGCCATGTGTCGAGCTCAGAAACTGATCTCTTACAAAGACGCGGCTCTTGTTGGTTTCCTCTAAGCCAAACAAAGAGCCCCTGGTTTCCACCGCGCAAAGACCAAGAGATGATGGACGCGCCAACAGAGCAAACAACGCCGGCCGCTGCCCAGCCGTGACTTTGCGGGGCACCCGCTTGTGTTTCTGGACCCTTTTGGACAACCCTTTTGGACAAGTGAGAGCCACAATGGTTACTAAAGTGGGGCATTCCCCAGTAGAGGCGACAACCAAGTTTGCTGTTGCGGTCGTGGCTGTGGTGCGTTTGTGATTGTGGTTGTGGTTAGTCAAGCAATCAGTGAAATATTGTTGAAAAGCACCCCACAAACCGCGTTCTACTTATCTTGGCTCTCGTAGTATCCCCCAAAGCGTCAAACAGGACCCTCCATTGACGCGGCCGAACCGAGCCTCCATTGGAAGGTGTTGGTTGCCTCCAAACGGATTTCCCCTTTTTGATGATGGGCCTGTTTGATGCTTAGGAGAAAGTAACCAGCCAATGTTCTGTCAGTTCTTGAAAGGTGGTCCTACTTGTTACCTACTTTTTACCTACTTGGACCCTACTGCTTGCGTACTGCTTGCCTACTGCTTATGCTGCTTACCTACTGGTTATCTACTGCTTACTGGTTACCTACTGGGTACCTACCGGAGACCAAAAACCAAGGGGCCACGCTTAGAGCCGCCACGTTTCTTCCGGAAGGCCCGGCGCTGAATCCGGAAGACCCGGCCTTCGCCGAGGCCGGGGCGATGGCACGTGAGCCGCCACTCGTAGGGAGAAAAAGGTGTGGGGCAAGAATAGGAGAAACCAAACCCAAAACGGGACAAGCCCTGGAAAATGGAAGGACTAAAACCTGCGGTCCATATCCTGGCGGTTTAAAATTGACTCATACCCATATGTATCGGAGTGGGAGACGGGAAAAAAACAAAATCGAAGGCGAGTCTACCACAAAAAAGGTTCGAAAAAAAGGGATGGGTAACAAAAATAATCGAGCGCGAGTCTGAAATAGTGTGAAAGCTTAAAACGAAGGATTCTCGTTGGCACGCCACATCTCCCCTCGACGTGTTGATATTAAACATCAAAAGCAGCTTCCTATTTTCTTCCCAGCTCCTTTCCCAAAGCTGTCACTAGGAACCTATAACTCCAGGATGCGGGATCCAATCCTGATACGTGTTTGTTTTTTTCATTTGGATGTGTGTGTGTGTGTTAAATTGTTTTAACATGGGCACATGTGGCACATGTGTTTTGTTGTCCCGGTCAAGTGTATTGACGTGTTGTGTGAAATTCGCCTTCTGGCTGGACACAACAGCACAACACAAGTTTGAGCGCTGAAGGTTTGTGAACCAGCCAGTAAAGAGGTTCAAGTAAAGCGACGGTATTGCCAGCAGTCTACAGTTGATTTGAGCAGAGGCAGAAGCCCGCCCAACATCATTTGTCCAAGGTCGGGAAGTGCAGTCAGTGTTTTCGAGCCAACTACAAATAAGATAGGCAGGAAAAAGGGAATTCACCCCATAAATTTGGGGCAATAACCCATGTCTAAGGCAATTTGGAAGTTTTGAGGGTTCGGGTTCTGTTGGATCGGGCTTTACCAAATTGCCAGGATCGCTTGTTGCGCCAATGAATATGGCCCGTTGCTCATGGGAAATGATCCAAGCCACGGCACCCAAAACGTGGGGCGCTTCACAAGCTTCCCGGCCATCACCGGATCTCAGGCATAGGGGGCGTTGCTCGTTTTTGTTGGGAGTTGGTACCACCTGTTTTGGTCCGTGTTTTGGAGGGGAACCAAACGGAAAACCCAGAAGTTGAGGGGTTCCCCGAGTTCAGAACACACACCTTTTTATCCGCACAAAATTGAAGTGTGTTTTCAAGTTTCCCTGTGTGATCCGTTTGTATGGCGCTTTCGGGCAGTGTTTTGATGTCCAGGAAGCGAGTATCGTGTTCTCAGGAGATGGCATTGGCCTTTCCTTTTGGTTTCCCTTTAAGACAACCCAAGGGTACCATAAACTCCAGTCATGTCCGTCCATTTCTGGTGAATGGCTTCAGTCAGTGGGTTGCTGCCATAGTGTTTAGACTCCAGTCATTTCTATCCACTCGTGAACCACTGTGTTGCACTCAAGGGCACCTCAAACCTTGGTGACTCCCAGCCATCCGGTTCCTTAGCTTTTTAGCCTTTTAGTGTTTAGTGATTGGAAAAACCGAAATTTCACCCACTAAAAGTCTTCAACTTTTAGCGGATCTGAAAACGGCCACCCCCTCAAACGAGACAAGCCGCACCCAAGAAAATCCGCCAGGATCCTCCCTGGTGGACGATGGAGCAGCTGTGCTTCGGAACTCAGGACTTTCAGCTGGAGGCCAGCAGAGCCGGCCAGACGTTCCTTGACTTCCATTTGGTTAAGAATATGTTTGTTTTCCCATGCAGGTTTTCAGGGGACTTTAGCAAATGGAGGTTGAGAATCGTGTGGTCTTTTCGTTTCTGCATCTTCCATTGAACCAAAATAAAACACATTTGTTGCAAAGGGCTCCAAGTCTGGCCCAGAACATGTGAACTCCTTGGTTCGAAGTGGTGGCTTCCAGCTTGTTTCTGCGCAACTTCTCTCTTCTCTCCGTGTTTTCCGGGGGAATTTTATTGCCCCGGCCCTTGCAGGGTGCTGAAGCCTACCAGTTCTGGGACGTCGAGGCGCGTTCTGCCGGCGGACGCAGCACGCGGCGAACGCGACGAAGGCGTGCTCCGCATCCGTGCGCCGGTGAGGTGCTGCAGGACACCGGGGACTACGTGGCGATCTTTAAGCCGGCCGGGGCTCCGAGCTGAGATGGCCGTGGGTCAAAACCAATGGCCGTGGTAAACCGTTTTGGGTGCTTCTCAACAATACTTGTGCCTTTTCTTTTAAGTGAGTCTATCAAAGAAGACTCGCCATGACATGTGGGTGTCAACAATTACCTTCACACCAACATGGTGAGTCTTCTTCGACTTCTTGCTTGAGAGATGGCCGTGGTAAACCGTTTTGGGATCCCGTTTTGGATTGGGTGATTAAATTCACCACCCATTTGAGTCGATCTATTTCAGTGGTTGGATTGGTGGATGTTCACTGGGGGTACGATTTGGGTTTTGACCCATGGCCAGATCCCTGCATACCGCGAATGCAGATGCCTGCGGGAAACAAACCATGGGTATTTCGCATGGGTGGAAATGAAACCGGGGGAATGCAGGTTTTCGTGCATGCATTCATTTACCAGGGTTCCATCTTCCCATTCTTGACCAGCCAAATGTTCGCCAGGCGGGCGTTGCGGTGAGCAACAGTGCGGAGCCGCGCGCCGTTGCGACAAATTGTACTTACGCTGCAGCCTGAGCGCGATCTCTCCTTTCGTTCAGGGCGAGAGTGGAAGGCAGAGAGAGGCTGGGAGATGGAACCCACCAGGCCTGGGCACAGGAAGCAGGCAGTAGAGTTGGGGACCCAACACGGCTACAGACATCGCAGGGGTTCAGAACCAACTTCAAAAGGCAGGGGCAGATCAGCCGGAAGACCAAGTAGAATGGTTGCCGGGAAGTCATGCATGGGGTGTCCCTAGAATTGGCTGTGACCCGTTGCCGCGCTCCTTTGGAAGACCCTCCCCCCCTCACGAAAATGGGCCACCTGTATCCAAATAGAGGACACGGGTGCGGTACGTCCTTTTGAGTTGTTACAAAAGCCAAAGTGTACTCCTTCATGAAAATTGGTTACGTTTGCAGCACAACCAGTGAGAGAGAGAGAGAGAGAGAGAGAGAGAGAGAGAGAGAGAGAGAGAGAGAGAGAGAGAGAGAGAGAGAGAGAGAGAGAGAGAGAGAGAGAGAGAGAGAGAGAGAGACACTCCGCTTTTTGATCCAAATTTCGCGGAGCGCACTTTGGTTGGGGATTGAAACATAGGAATCGACATGTTCGCAACCACGGGGACCCTTTGGCCCAATCTGATTCACCAAGGTTGCGGGACAGCGACTGGGAGCTCGGCCGGGGCGGCTCGGCTCTTTGAAGAACACGAACGGGTAGTTTGTGCTGTTTTCCCTATAATGTTGACCCCGGATTAATAACCCCTATTTATTAATGTGGGGGTGTTCCCCTCCAAAAGTGACAAATCCCGACTATAACAATGGACACCCCCATATTAATAAACAGGGGTGTATTTATCCGGGGTCAACATTAAGACCAATTCCTGAGGGTCCTTGAGTTTTCAACGGGCCCAAAAACAATCGAGACCCTCGGCCCGACTGCTGTTAAGCCATGCAACCAAACTCCCATAAATACGGAAACCAAAAAGCAGCTGTTGGGCCCGAATCCGGTGCTGGTAGTTGTTGTCTTAATCGTCTGTGTTTTTTGATTTGTTGTAGAAGACAACGATTTTGCCGAGCTCCAAGTATTGCGCTGTTTTTTTGGGTCCATTCTGCTTATTTAAACAAATTCATTCAAAAATAGAAGACGACGATTGGTTTTCGAGTTGCAAGTGGTGTCTCTCACGCTCTCTCACGCGCGCTCTCTTTTTGGTGCCAGGCAGCCTTGCCACCGCTTAGACATGGGCGCCTCCGGGGTCCAAGTCTTCGCCAAGTCCCCGGAGGCGAAGCGCCTGAGCGCCCCTTTCTAGCTGTGCCCTCCATTTCCATTCTCAGGCATCATTCTCTTCAAGGCCAAATCCCTGGAAAAATGGGCGGTGTCCAAAGTGAACGATGGGTGATGGGAAATCAAACCTTCGACCCTTGCCTTACCTCTTAAAAACACAACTTTTCAACTTTTTGGGTAACATGGGCTATATGTCTGTAACAGATTGACTTCCCCAGGGCTTGGAGTTTTAAGGGGTAAGTTGCCTTGGAGTCCGGGAGCTTCAACTTGGGACCCCAAAAACCTGATCTTTGCTGGATGCGCATGTGTATGTCAGGGTACCTAGGTCCCCCAGTAGCGTCAACTTTGACCATGAAAAGGGGGGAGGGTTCGACCCTACTAAAATAGACTGAAAAGAAAGTTGGTAGCCTTATTCTAACCTCTGTACTGGAGGACCTAGTCAACTTGGGACCCAAAGAACAATCATTTTTGCTGGATGTGTATGTCAATGCGCACTTTTCAATAGGCTTCCCTATAGTCGGGGAGTTACTGGCACTTAGGTTCACATCCCACTTGGGTGGCACCAGGTAAGGTACAATGATGGGTCCATCCAGCTTCATTTCTTGGGGAGAGTAAGGTCTACAGCAATATGTGGACCACGCAAGATACTGCAAAGCACAAAGGGTGTTGGCCTTACTTTGGGACCATCCGTGGGCGTTCACGATGGTTATAAGTCAACCAACCCTAGCCCCTGCAACAGTACATGTTCACACTTTCCATGAGCTTCACTTGTTTTAAAAAGACAACCAGGGCCAACACATAACGTGGAGGGACTCAGAATCTGATAGCTCTTTGCCTCACCTCGTCTCGCTTATCCCACTCATGAAAAGCTTCTTGGAAGATCATGACGACCCTCAGCCTGACCTTCTGGCTCTCCCAAAAAGATAGTTGGAATTTGGCTGACCAATCCACTCAGGAAATCAACCGTTGATGTTCTCATGACCCTCTACCAACAAAAAAGCGAGTCGAAGCGTGGTTTGGCCATTTGACAACCTGAGTCTTGGTTGAACCGCCCGATCCGTCTTCCGATTCGATTCCTCATGAAAATGTGGCCGTGGGTCAAAACCCTGTACCCCTGGTGAACATCAAAATAGGTGGTGCATGGGTGTTCATCCGCCCCAAAATGGCATAGGTTATGACCGAAGGAGTCTCAAAATGTCTACCTGAGCGGAAGCCCTCTGGGCGATTGGCCACGGATCAGAGGTGTTTGTTTTGCCGTAATCTCACTTGTTCAGTGGCACCCTTGTTCCCTTTTTTTGGTGGCTGCCCCACTAAGAATGGTCTTCCCCAAAAAGCATTCCCTTTTTGCTCCAGGGTCACCGAACAACTGAGCCATTGTTTTGCATCCCAAGCACTTTTTGTGTGCCTCAAGGCTCAAAACTTCTTCGGGTTGACTTTCTGCATATGAACGCAGCTGGCATAAACAAGGACCCTCCACTGACGGTCCACCCTTTGACTGTCCAATGGACAGCTTATGGGGGGTGCTGAGTGTATCTGTTTGTGCGTCCCGAAAGGGGTCCCTTTTTGCTTGTGGACCAAGGCTGGAATGCATTTCGGCCCAAAAATCCGTGGGTTTTGCCAGGAACAAATTCATCCCAATTTCCAACCCAGCAACTCTACATGGGTTTTGGAGGAGGCATTTGAGGTGAACCGGCAGTTGTTGGGTTTGTATGACTTGCTTTTTGGGCAGGGGTGTCTTTTGGCCACCTTTTGTGAGGAAATTGGCGACCCCCTCAGAAAATCGAATCCTTCACTACGAGGGGGTCGATCATTGTTCCACCAAAGGCGGCAAAAAGACACCCTGGATCGCCAGTTCCTGGTTTTTTCCATCTACTTTACCCCAACAACCAGCAACAGTGACTGAAAAAAGCTGCAACTTGGCCATCTAGGACCCCTGTTTTTGTTGGGTGGGTCGCTTCCCCCCGCAGAAAAATTCTGACCGGTCGCGCGCGGCGTCGCAGGCGCTGCAACGCTTCCGGCGAGCACGCGCCCTCGGCCAAGCGCGGGTGCAGTACGTTGTCATGGTGGAGGCGACACTTCGGCCGAAGGGCTCGTGAGTTGGTGGCTCCCTGCTTTTGTGTCTCATATCCTTTGCAGTGGATGGGAGTTATGGGCAAGCGTCAGGGTGGCAAAGTACAGGTTGGGCTGCACAGAAGGACGTGTCCGCACTCTACATCCAGATCGCCACTCTCAGCTTCTTGCACTTCAATCGAATCCGAGCTACACACGGGCTTCAAATGACTTGCTCCCAGCCATCGGATTCCTGAGCCTTTTGGCTTTTTGGGGTTTGGGATGTCCATGTAAGCCACCAAAAGTTTTCAAATATTAGGGGATCTGAGGGCAGCCCCGGTGAGTTGAAAACCAAAAGGAAACCACCGCAAGATGGGCGTTGGAGGTCCAAAGCCCCAATTTCGACACGATTCTGGCACACAGCCATATTGTCTCCAAAGGAGACCCCAAAAATGGGTGACACTTTAAATTGGCAATTCAAAGGTGGTTAAAACCTCAAGGGGAAACCCGCCGTGTGGCCAAAACTATGGCTTGGGTCGAAATGTCCATGGTCCAAATGGGAGGGACATGGGGGGGGAGCCCTAAATTTCCCAAGTGCTCTTGGGGCAAGTCATGTTGGCCAGACCTACGCAACCCCGAGGTTTCCCTACCAAACACGGTTTGGGAGAAGCCGATTCCAGTCTAACCTTGGAGATTTTGCAAGCCCGGCAGACCAATCTACATGCAGAACCGGAGGAATCATAGGTGCTGACCGCGTCAGTGGCAGGATGTATCAATTTATTTCCAAGTTGACACTGATGTGGCCGTGGGTCAAATCCAATGGTGCCATTTGTGGGTAGGTGCACCACCCATGTCTATTTTAGTGGGGATTGGGATGTTCACCGGGGGTCCGGGTTTGTGACCCATGGCCATGTGAAGATGCATGCGCACCGCACTCGTCGTCGTTGTTGTTGGTGTCATGGTCGTGGTCATCGTCGTCGTTGGCGGCGGCCTTGCTGTTTGTTCTTGGTTTGCTAATGTGTTTGTGTGTGTGTTTGCGTGTTTGTGTGCTTGCGTGGTTGGTTGTTTGTTTGCTTAGTTGTTTGTTGTTTGTTTGCTTGCTTGCTTGGTTGGTTGGTTGGTTGGTTGGTTGGTTGGTTGGTTGGTTGGTTGGTTGGTTGGTTGGTTGGTTGGTTGGTTGTGCTGGTCGTTGTTGTGTATGTTGTCTATGGTGAAGTTGTGTGCATTGGCCGTGGTGCCTGTGTTTGCTGATGTCGATGAATGTGAGTGTGTGATGTTGATGTTCCTTAGCTAGTATCATCATATTAATGTCTGTTATTGTGTCGGTGTCTCTGAGCGCCTTTTTTGGTGTGATTGTTCTGGTGGAGGCCCTTTGCTAAAATGACATCTTGTTCACTGACGTTCTGTGCATCGCGAACCGCGCACGACAGGGCTGCCTAGCCGGTGAAGCTAGCGGCGCCATTGATGTGCCACTGCTGCCGTGGCAGGCCGCGGGCAAAAGTTCAGCGTCATCAAAATGGGTCCCAGCACCCCTGCACTGTTTTTTGGTTCATGTCCCACATCGGCTGTGGTGTCCTGTTTGGTTTTTCTTTTTCCTGGAAGCAACACGTTGCGATTGGGTCGGAGCACAGCTTGGGATTCAACACAACGAAGGAGTCTTCCAATCGGTCTTGCCATATGTCCAAAGAGAGGCCGCCCCAGGACCATGTTGCACCAGTGCCTGGGAAGTTGTTACTTTCCTTATTCGCAAGGAGGGGTCACAAGGAACCCAGGCTGAAACATGGTCCATGAAGAGAGGGTGTCCCTTGTTCTCCCCTTTTTTTAGCATGTTCACTCAGTTGCCCAAAGCCAATCGACTTGTTGACTTGTTGGTTTTCCAATATGTTTTTACTATTTTGTCATGGACCCCAAAAGGTTGACCTTCTATTTATGGGTCCCTGGTCAACGAAGTTCAATCTACGGCTTGCCGCCCTGCGCGCTGCATCCGGCAGGATTCTGGGGGCCGTGATCTCGGCAGCGTCGCCTGCGGCAAGGAAAGCCAGCGTACGCTTGGGGTAACGTGAGCCGACGTCAGCGAGTCGACCTGACTTTGAACCTTGCCTGTCTAAAGGATTCGTTTTGGCAGAGGATGGCAACCAGAGTGGCTGAGATAATGTTTATCTTAAATATAGCAATGCAAACGGACAATAAAGTTAAAAAAAAAAAAAAAAAAAAAAAAAAATCACGTATTTGTGTCTATCGTATTACTTTTGTCTAACGCGTTTGAAGAGCTAAAAGCATGTTCCTTGTAGGATGGCCTCCCAGCGGCCACGACGTACCACGTGCTCGGCAGGCGGGCGATCTTTTTTCCTGTCTTGGCAAACCTCTGGGGTCTTTCCCACGGCGGTTTCTCTGCCCGAATGTGGCATGAAAGCAGGTGCCAGGGCGGAGAAGGCTGACCGCTTTTCTTGACTCAAGATTGGCCAATCACCAAGAGCAGACCTACTCTAAAACTTTCACCTTTTCTCAGTTGTTCAGTGGCACCACGGTTCACACTCTTCTGGTGGCTGCCCCAGTTTAAAATGGTCTTCCCCAAAAAGGGTCCCCTTTTTTTCCAGGGTCACTGAACAACTGAGTTTTCCAGTCCGTGAGCCCTTCGGCGTGTCTCTCCCAGGTGGTGCATTCCCGGCGCCGGGGTACCAGACCTCAGCTTCGCGATAAAGAAACGCGGAGGTCGACTCGGATCGTCGACAGGCGGTGGCCTTCTGGGGAAGATCGCGCTGGCCTGCGCCTCAATCGGCTGGGTTTCCTCTCGGTTTTCTTTGGGGTGGGAAAATCCAAGCGGAAGACCAAGACAAGCCCGGTGTTTTTGTTTTTCTTTTGGGGGGGGAAGGGCTTCAAGAAAGACACCCTTCAATTTTTCTGAAGTCCCAGAATGGGCTTCTCATTTTGAGCCAAAAGCATGAACCCGTTGCGGCTGGGTGGGACCAGTGAGCCCGGCGACGCGAGGTTTACTTTGCTCTTGGTCACCACTCACACGGACAGGCGGGCGCGTGCCCGGTCCAAGTCGGAGAAATGCGTCCGCGCGCCAGGATTCATCAGGTTGCTGCGCACTTGGGCTTCATTGGGTACCCAGTGGTGGGTGATCCCAAGTGCGCGCTGCTGTGGCGGGGGAAGCGGACCGGAGTTCTGCCTTGAAGGTACAGCGCGATGAATTTCGAAGATGCCGCGGCCAGAGATTGACTCGCATTGTGAAGCCCAAGCATCCCTTTTTTCCAGGTGACCTGGATTTTACCTCTAGATGTTGCATGCTTTTCCCTGCCTTGTAAGACTTACTCCCTGAGTTCGAGGACTTTAAGCTTTTTGGGAAGACCATTCCAGTGGCCAATTCAAAATCTGGGCTCTTTTGGCCAGTCCGGACCTGGGAAGACAGTTTTTTGCCACCCAGGACAGTGCCATTACGCCAAGGGCCTTTCTGCATTTGGCCAGGGCCCTGGGACCGGCGTGCGAATTTGTGGCGGGAGGAATTTTACCGGGAACCCAGTCACAGCCTGGTTGATCCATGGGGGCTGTTTACCTGCGGGGCAAATGCCCTCATTGATCCGTTCTGTATAGAGGCTAGTCTTTTGAACATGGCGAACCCCGGCGAACTGTTCGACTTACCTTAGCTTACTTTTCGGGTCACCCCCACTAACTTTGACTGGAGTTATTCTTCATGTTTTGAACTGCAAAGGGCAACTCCTGTTTTTTTTCCACCCGAATCGATTGGTACATTGCCTTTTTGCCAACTGATGGGTTTTCCATCAAACCACACAAAGTGTTCAACTTTTAGCAGGGGAGCAGATTTCGCAACCGAGTTAAGAGAATCCCAAGTTCCACCCCCCCCACAGCCCATCTCGACCCATCTCGAGGCGCGCGTGGAGCTTTCGGAGCACGGCGGCGGGTTCTCCGCACGCGCAGAGTTGGCGACAGACCTGCAGGCCGAGAGACGTTTCGACGCTAGGTCCCCCAGCTAGGTGCCCTTTTGCCCTTTTTTGGTTGGGAGAGTTCCCCTACTAAGTTGGTACCCTTATTTTAACCTCTCTACTGGAGGACCTAGGACGGGTGAAGCCCGCTCGGACTTGCAAAAGGCGTCCAAATCAC